AATATCTAATTTCAGGCATAGAAACAAATTTTTTCTGACTAATTTCGATACCGGTGATTAATCCAGTTTCTACGTTTTTATTTTGTTTATAACGTTTTAACCCATTCTATTGTTGTTTTTGTATTTTGTATTTTTAACGGTTTTTCTTGATTAAAAAATATATATATGGGTGATGATTGCCTAAATGGCATGAAACTTTAAGTTCCATCAAGTTGTATTTTTTCATTTAGTTAAATATATATATATATATATATATATATATATATATATATATATATATATATATATATATATATATATATATATATATATATATATAAATACGTTCAATTTTGCTTGTACTAATATTTTACAAATTACCAGATAACTATGAAGTCAAGCTGATCAAGCTCAGATTTTTTTAGATTTGGAAGTAATACATAATTTTATATTATTTTTTTGTACTTGCCATGTATGTATTTGCCAATGTATGCGCAATTATCGCAATGCATGTGAATGCTTGCATATGAATGTACTTGCCAATAAGAAATAGTTTATAGTCGTAATTTATAAAAACAAATATTTACATGGCTAAGGCAAGAAGAAGACAAACTTATCACCAAACTCCAAAAATACATTTAAATATTTTTCATCACCAAATCAAGAAGTCTCATCAACAAGCTCCAAAAATACGTTTAAAAATTACTTAATAATTAATTATTTATTTTCTATTTATTTTAACAAGACAAACTTCTTTGCTTTTTAATTCTCCTTATTAAATCATGGATTTAGAAAGCACGGCTGTTCTATTTTTCAGTGGAAAGCGTTTTTCATGCTTTATTTACTTTATCATTACTTTCTAACACCAAAAGGTTATAGAAAGATTAAGTAAGAGTATTTATATATAGAATGAAAAAAAAGAGCTTTTAAACCCAGATCTTATTCTACAAAAGCGTGCATTGAGCCTAAATTAGAGGTTATTTTTTGTGCGGCTCATGTTGTGTGGCTGTCGTTATTCTTTCAGCTAAGATCATATATTTATTCCAAGGCTGCTTGAATTATCTATTTGCTCTGATATTTAAAGAAAAATCATTTAGCTTTTAAAATAATAGTGTGAAATAAATTTGATCGAAGGTGTTTTATATGACTTTAAGTAGGACTAAAAAAAAAAAAAGGATTGACAGTCAAACAGAAGTGAAAAAGTTTTCAAAGATTTTTCACTTTAGTATAATTAATGATATTTAAGGCATTTGCAGTCAAAATTTTATTTTACTTGATCGAACTAATTTGGGTAAAATATTTTAAAATGAGTTTGCGAGTTTATTTTTGTGAATTTTAACTCTTAACTTGAAATCTCACTCGTATCCAAATAGATCCGAAGTCCTATCGATTTTTAGGGATTCCGGGATTTCAGACTCCGGGGTTTGAAAATTGAGACTTCTTGGAATACAGACTTCAAATTTTTTATATATACTTTTTTCAATTGAATCATTTAACCAAAGTTTTTTGGGATTAAACAGTTTCTGAAATGCTAGAGTGTTCTTTATAAAGTTTCAAATACGCTGTAAAATATTATATATTATTTTTGATTTTATTTTTTTGCTCAAAAAATAACTGTTTCTTTTAAGTCGAAGGAGTAGCGACAAATATTGGCTCCCTTGTAAAACATAACTGCAGACCTCTAAATTTCTTCTCTAGCATCCCTTCTCTCCCACCCCCTTCCTCCACCACCTATCATTTTAACCAAAAGTTAAACATAAAAAAAATAACCTTATCTTTAAACACAGTTTTTAGATAAATAACTAGTATTAAACCAGAATAAAAATGCAGAAAAAGATAAAAGTTTAATGAAAGTGTATTTTTCTTCGCCTTCGTAGTTGCAAATTGGTAATAATATCTTTAAAATTTAATTAAGCTGCTTCAATAACTAAAAAGCTTAACGCAAAAACAGCTTTGCGTCATTGCTGTTCATAAAGGTGGTTTAAATCTTTTTAATAAGCTGAAAGATCAGTTAATAATAAGCTGAAAGATCATTTTTTCAGTTGCCAAGCTAAAGAGTAATGTCAAATAAGTATTGTAATTATATTAGTGAATGACAATAATATGTTATTGTGAACTCTTGTAAAATGCAGAGATTTTCGATGTGTAAAATGCAGGAATATAGTGTAAGAAATGTCTCATTACTTAAACCCTATTACTGTCACAATCCAATCTCTCAGCTGATGTAAAATTTTTTTAAAATGATAACCTTAAATTAGTCAATATATGTAGGCCCTAACCTTATTTCCGCAGTTTATTCCCGCACTTTAATCATTGAAAGTCTCTGCATTTTAACAATATCTTTTTATTGTTAATAATTTGAGCAAATCTGAAAAACTATTCAGATTTTTAATCTCCGTTTTGAAATATTTTTTTCGTTGAAAAAAAAGTTTGCTGATTGCAAAGTCATCGTTTTTTTAAAAAAAACAAGCAACAAATTATCACTTCACTAAATCAGCTTTTTTTTTTTTTTTTTTTTTTTTTTGTTCTTATTACAATATACTATTGTATAAATATCGTTGTACATTAAATATCAGAGCACGGAGACTCGAAGAAGATCGTAAGATCCTGTCTCTGAGAACCGTTTAACATTGCAGTAAAAATATAACCAGTTAAATAATTACAACAAATGACGTTTAGAAATAAAATTTAAAACTAACCAGATATTTCAAAACATAAAATAACGTTTAACAACATAAAGAGTATTTATAAAACTAAATATTTCAAAATAAAACAAAATATTCAGGAATCGCACACTTTTTTAAAAGGTATAAACTCAAAAGAACTCAAAGATATTATCAATTTACAAGATAACTTTTTTCAGCTTTTAAATGTAAGAAAACTCCAACTTTGAGAAAAATCAAAATTTTTCAAAACTATTTTGTTGTACTGAAGAGCTCCGCGATATGTTAAAAGAGATCTTCCAAAACTTGTATGAGAATAATTTTGATGAATAAGATTGTCATTTCTTAAGTCATATTTGTTTTTTTGTTTAATTGCATATAAATTTTGAAAGGATATAGGGGTTAGGTTTATCTTACATTTGTACATAAATAAAAAAAATATTAAAAACATTTTGCTGGTATATATTAAGAACATTCATTTCCAATAAAAGTGGTCTGGCATGAGTATAACGATCTTTAAAGTTTATTAGACATGCTAAATGCTTCTGTTGCCGATATAGAGGATCTAAGTAAGTTTTTTTAGCACTACCCCAGGCGATGTTTGCATAGTTTATATGGCATTGAATTAGGGAGTGATAAAGTTGAGTTAATGAATGTCTATGCACAAAATTTTTTGCTTTATACATTACTCCAATATTTTTTGAAACTTTATTGCGCAAAGTTTCGATATTGTTTTTTCCATGCCAGATTTTTATCAATGAAAACACCAAGGAAATGTATAACTTTTGATTTTTTTATTTGAGCATTGTCAATATATATTTGAGGCATATCATTTGGTAAAGGTTTTTTTAAGGATTTTTAATGAAATAAAGTCCATTTAGTTTTTTTCAAGTTAATTGATAGTTTATTTGACTGAAACCAATTTGAAATTTTAATTAGTTCTATTTTGATTTTATTAAATAATGAAATATTTTTATTGGATAATGTATATTAATGTAAAAAAATGTATATTTTTACCGGATAGAAAAAGATTGTATCATCAGCAAACATTACTGTCTTCAAATTTGAGGCATTGTGCAGATCATTAACATAAATGAGAAAAAGTAGTGACCCTAGTATAGACCCTTGGAAAAACACCACATGTTTTATCAAGTAAACTTGTTGAGGAGGATACGTCAATTTGCACAAACTGTTTACGATTGTTTAGATAGAAAAAAGCTTTGAAGAGTATAGTTTTAATATCATATAATAATGTTACTATTTATTTCGTCCTTACCTCTCGCTTTATTAGTTTTTAGCATTTTATAAGCACATTGAAATTCTTTCAGCTCTATCGTTTTAGTTTACGCAACGTCACGGCATCGTATTTCCCACTTAATAAAATTGTATTATTTATGAATTAATTTGACTTAATTTTTTTGATATAAATAAAGAAAAATTTATTTACTATTTAAGGTGCTGGTCAAGATTATTGGACGTATTTTTTGGACGACTTAGGGTCGTCCATAAAATATAACAATAGCTATTTTCTTCGTTATCTAATATATAGATAGACATATTAGATAACGAAGCGTTATACTAATTAAAATTAAAACTTTCATTGCGTTCTCCTACGGAAAAACCGGGACAATCACAACCCTAGTCTAAACATAATTTGGCATTTAGCTATCAATGCACACCAAAGCTTTTAGACGACGCATAACATGAGATTGTCTCTTATACGCTTTAAAAGCACAGTATGTTGTTGGCGATGTATGTCATACACACGCTGGAGATCTTTAAATAATTTATCTGCCAGAGGGTTTGCCATCAAACGCAACACAATCCGATGCGTTTGTGATTTTTACTAGTTTAAAGTTTTGTAACTGTTAATAATAAACAAACAAGATTAAATTGAAAAATTTTTAGAAGTTCATAAAGGTTTGTTAGAAAACGTTTATATGCTGATAAAGTTAAATAAAAACCGGAGTCCCAACTTTTTTATGGCGGCGGGATTTCGGACTTTATGTAAAAACAAACACTCCTGGACTCCAATTTTGCACCACTGCTCTTAATATATATATTTAATTTAGCATAATTTTAGTTATTTATAATAGAATTTTCCTGGCATTTAAAGGTTGTGTTACACACATGTAGGCAGACTTTAGCGCCCTAAATCCAACAAAGTAATGGGCAAGGAAGTTTTAACCCTTTCTAAAGAACTCTAGTTTTGAGGATTTATTGAAGTTTTTATTACAACACATTACTTTGATAAGAAATATCTAATACGTTTAAATGTTTGTATGCAGTACCTTTGATGTAACATTCTGCTGTCAAGTTGGGGGAGTGGAATACAACTATTTTGTTGCGGTTTGAATAACCGCCGATAACTTAAAATTGTAACTTAAATATTTTATAGCCGAGTGAAAGTTGTCAAGATGGCCGACAAAATGGAAGATTTAGCATGGTGAAATATATAAATATCCATTTGTTTTATTTATTTTTCTTTATTCGTAAATTATTTCATCCATTTTAGTGCCATGTTTTTCAAAAATAAATTACTAAAATAAGTATTAGTAGACCTATTTTTTATGACTCACACTATTATTTATATAAAGTAAAATTGTTTTTAAGATTTTGCTGATTTATTTATTTATAAATACAATAAATAAATAATGAAATATAATAAAAAATAAAATATATGTTATAATATATAAAATATTTTTTTTAAATATAAAGTAACGGTAGAGGTTATGAGAATATAAAAACGATAGAACAGCTTTTTACAGCTTTGTTTATATTTGTCATTAAAGCTCTTAATCATTTTAAGTTATTATGCTAAGTTTTTTAAAAATTTATATTAATATAAAATCATAAATATTAAAAGCAAATATGAAAATACTTTGTTATTTATCATGTATTATTATCTATGCTAAGCTATTTTAAAATATAATATAGTTGTTTAAAATGATGTATCATTTCAATGAATTGATTTCATATACAAACAAGAGCTGTAAAACTCAAAGAAAGCTAAGACTTATTGATTTCTTAATTATAAATTAGTTTAAAAATTTCAGTTTATATTAGGGTTGGGCTTATGTCTAAGTTTCTAAAAATAAGTATGGTTAATTGTTTTCGCTATTTTTAAATCTTTTTTTTTAGTATTACACTTTGTCAATAAAAAAACAATTAAAAATCGTAATTTATTAAAAATAATTAAATGATCAGAGCTAGAAGAAAATTAGACTTCTCACCTTGAAAGTTTGATTTAAAAAAGTTGAGGATTATGCTTAAAAATTAAATGAAATTAGTAAACACATATTTAGTGATCGACCAAAGCCTTTGAATTTCAAGTTTAATAGTGCAAGTAAAAAAAATTAAAGCTGGGATTTTTTTTAAATCTTGAAAAATTTTTTAACATTTAAAAAAAATTAAAATTGGTAAATATTAGACTATTAAGTAGTTGAATTTAAACTTTCAATTATTTATTTCAATATGTTTTCAAAGTTTTTGAGTAATACTTGAATATTATTTTATTCAAGTACTTTTTAAATTAGTCTATAAACTTTTATCAAACAAATATGTATATAAGCAGTTATAAATAAATTATTTGTTTATATATATTTGTATATTACAATTATATATAATTGTTTGGGAATTGGTTTTAAGCATTTTATTGAAAGATACTTTTTAAAATATTTGAGAACTGTGCTATATATATATATATATATATATATATATATATATATATATATATATATATATATATATATATATATATATATATATATATATATATATATATATATATATATATATATATATATATATATATATATATATATATATATATGTATATATATATATATATATATATATATATATATATATATATATTATGTATATATGTATATATATATATATATATATATATATATATATATATATATATGTATATATATATTATGTATATATGTATATATATATATATATATATGTATATATATGTATATATTATATATATATATATATGTATATATATATATATATATATATATATATATATATATATATATATATATATATATATATATATATATATATATCATGTCTTTTTAAAAAGAGTTTTTCCATATTTTTTTTTTTTTAATGAATGACAATGTGTTTTTTATTTTAATAGCAATGATAATTATACTTTCGCAAGAAAAATTAAACTTTTGCGAGAGCCGTAAATTGCTTCTGTAAACCATTTTAGGGTAGTGTTAGCGAGAGCTAAATCTCTGGCTTACCACCGAAGCCTATATATATATATATATATATATATATATATATATATATATATATATATATATATATATATATATATATATATATATATATATATATATATATATATATATATATATATATACACATATACATATATAAATACATATATATATAATATATATATATATATATATATATATATATACACATATACATATATAAATACATATATATATATATATATATATATATATATATATATATATATATATATATATATATATATATATATATATATATATATATATATATATATATATACATATATATATACATATATATATATATATATATATATATATATATATATATATATATATATATATATATATATATGTATATATATATATATATATATATATATATATAAATATATATATATATATATATATATATGTATGTATATATATATTTATATATATATATATATATATACATAAATAGCACACATACATAAATAGCAAACATATAAAATATATCTGTTTTAAATAACTTGTTTTTTTTTGCAGGAAAGCTGATTTAACCTTGTGTTTGTCAAAGCAACCAGATTTGCTTAAACTTAAATCACTTTGCAAGGGAAGAAAAATTCCACCAGATTGTCGGCCTGAACTATGGAAGGTTTGTATATTTTTATTAACATTTATTAAATGTTGTTTCTTGGTGTGGTTTCTGATTTTTTTTTTGTTTGATTTATTAAAAAAAATGCAATGAAATTTTTTTACAAATTTTCTGTCATTTTCTTGAGTTTTTTAGTTGCTTAAAGTTTTTTTAGTGCAAGTGTTATTAATTTTTAAAAAATTATTTTTATTTATTTAAATCATTTAAAATTTAACAATAAAATTTTTTATTCGAAACTATTTATTTACATTTTACTGCTGTTTAATAAGAAAGTTAAAAAAGTAAAGATAGTTTGAAAGTAAACTTTATTATTATTATTTTTTAAAATTTATGATAAAAATTTTTGTGGGGGAGACTATATTGAACTTGAAACAAATTTATAAACCTTTAAGATAAGTTTTAAATAGAGGATCTTGGATTAGTTTATTTTTTATTAGGGTTTTTCTGTTGAACAATGAAACAGCTTGATTTCATGAATTTCAGGTCTAAAAAATGTTTGGTTATTCTGTAATGTTGAACTGCTCGTTTTTACTAAAATTCTTTTTACAGTATTGATTTAGTTATGTCATTGTCAAGTCCAAAAATGTGAATGGTCATGACCATTCAAGTTTTTCAAGTAAATGACCATGACCATTCACATTTTTCAAATGATTGGTCATTGTTTGTAAATAATGCTTTATCAACTTTGAAATTTAAAATAATTTTATTTTAGTAATTTGTGTACTCTATTTGAAAAAATAAAAATTGACTTCTCAACTTATTACATTGGTAAATTTTGTATTGTTTGATATCTTGATAATATTGGCTATTTTTTTTGTAAAAATGTTTCCTCGGAAAACTGAACTATAATTTTTATGTGAAAACATAAGTAATATGTTTTCACATAAAAATTTGTTTTGTAAAAACTATAATATAGTAAATATATTATAGTTTTTATGTAAAAACATAGTTAAAACATTGAAGTTTTTATTTAAAAACATATGGTACAAAAATATAATTAAACCTGTTATAAATAATGTTATAATAAATAAGGTACAAAGTTTTTAAAACCCCATTTTACCTTTGTTTTTGTTTTTTTATAATATTATTCTGCTGCATTTTATTTTTGCAGGGATTATCTGCTCATCCATGGAATGATATTCTTCATTCAGTTTTAATATAATTGTTTCTAACTGCATCTAATATAGGCTGAACTTTAAAAACTTTTTTGGTCTTATTTGTTCCAACATCTTTCAATGTGCTTGTTTGCATGTAAATTTTACCTCTATTTTTAAAATCTGTTTATTGGCATAAAATCAGCTGCTTAGGCAAACCTGGTCTCTGTTGCCCAATACATTTGATAAGATGGTAATTTAACTATTGACATCAACATATGAATACCAATAAATTGCTCTATTTTATAATTTCTGTCAATACTTTTTCCTGTTAATTGCACATTATAGAGATTGTTTTGCTCTACTAATATTTCAGTTATGGATTTGTCTCAAAACATTTTGAAAAATTCTAGCGCTGTTAAATCAGAAAAATTTGCAGGAGACATACTAAAATTATAGTAAAAGAATAACTTTTTTCTGATGTTTTGAAGTGATGCAAACCACTCGGAAATGTGGGAAACTTCTGGAATATTATCAGTTAACATGCAGTCTTCTTTATCAGTTGCTCATTCATTCTCATCTCTAATATCATCTTCTTAATTCCTTATATCTATGATGTAAATAATGCATAAAAGGTATTATGTAAAAGCTCAAAATAAAGCAACATAAAGAAATAAAAATAAGTAGTATTATCACCAATTAGAGTGATCTGGGTCACTTTCAGACCAACCATCATTTTCATCATCAGCTAACTCTGACAATTCTGAATCTGAACATAATATAAAATATTCTAGAGCTTCTAAAACATTGTATTGGGATGTTATTTATTTTTTGTCTAAAAAACAAACTAAAAAAAGTTGCTGATGAAAAAAACCTTTTGCATTTCAACTAACTTTTTTTTTCTAATTATAAATAATTATTTAACTCCAAAAAAAAACAACTCAAAAGTATAGTAAATTTACCCCAATTTCCATTAGCACAAAAATTACAACATTTACTTTAATACAAGTTTAAAACAAGTTGGGTTTGTGTAAAAATATCACTAAATTTGTATTATGCTGAACAGGAATCAATTAAAATTAATTGAAAGATTTTGTTGCCATATGACAACAGTGGACAATTATGGGTTAAGGTTTTTATATTAGAGACACTAACAGTTAGATCAAAGTAACACATGTTTATGTAAATGAATTGAATTTGCTTTTAATTTATGTTTGTCATACAAGTTCTTTCCTAATACTACTATTTAAGTGTTTTTTTCTTATAGCGGTGTCTAAATGTTGTTGGCAAACCAGATCCACTAGTAACCTGGGATGGTCTTATAGATATGCAAGAACAAGATGTACTGAAAGAAGATTGCATCTTACAAGCTGGTATATTTTATACATTAATTCTTTATATTGACAAACATTTTTAAAAATATTCATTTAACATTAAATTAGAAGAAAATTGTATGAACTTTTTTTAAAATAATGTATTGGCTAAAAAATAGTTATTACTTACAATGAAACAATAAATAATAAAAATAAATATAGATAAAAATATATTAAATAAGTTGATGCTCTTAAAAATTTTAATTTTTCTAATTGAATTTTATCAAAATGTAAATGTTTTAGAATAGCATAATGTCAGTCAAGAATAGCATAATGTCAGTCAAGATGACAAAGTATTTGATCATTAAGTGGAAAGTAAAATATTTCAATATTTAATATATATAAAATAGTTCAAATAAATATTTTACTGAACTTTTACCTTGAGTAATTAATGAATGATTTTGTGAAATGTGTTTAAGATTTAAATGTTGCATAAATAATACAATCTTTTGATTAAAAAAAGAAATACAGGTAAAAGTTTTAAGAAAGATTTTACTATATTCCTAACTTAATTCTTGTGCAACTTGCTTACTTAATCAAACAACCAGTAATAGAAAAACTTGCAAAAATAAAACAAGCCCAACAAACACATTGACAATTTTAAAAAAATGTTATGCTATTCTAAAACATTTATATTGTATTTTCCATCTTTTTTTTTTTTTTTCAATGTTATTTAAGTTATAGTTTTAAGGTCAGTCATTTCCAGATTTAGTCAGCTTTCTCTACTTATTGTCTGACACCATTGAAAACTCGTTGAATTAGAAATAATTAATTCAAGTTAAAATGCATTTAACATCTTAAGACTGACTAAATTATTAAATTATTGTGAACTTTATATATATATATAAAAATCATGCAATTAAATTTTTATTTTGTTTCTTTTTTGTTTTGTTTTTTTAATATTTCGTGCATTTTTTGAAAAAATACTAGAAAAATTAAATTTTTGTCAGGAAAACTAATTTTTGGGCAGTGCTATTTTAGAGGTTTTCTTAAATTTCTAGTAATCCTTTACTCTTTAAAGGATTGCTAGAAATTTAAGAAAAACTTTAAAATAGTCTGGAAATGTTAGCAATGGTGCTATCAAAAAAAGTTATATAGCTGTTTTACATTTCAAAAAAATTGTAAAGTTGAATTAATTAAAAAAAATAACTAACATTAATTTAATTTTTTTTTTTTTTTTATTGTTTTGCCAAATTGACTTCAAAATATTAACATTATAAATATAATCTTTTTAGTTATTGGAATATATATACAAGTCAAAAATTTTAAATTAAATGAATTTTCATTTTGAAGTCTGTATTCTAATTTACTGATTAGGTAATTATTTATCTTGCTATTTGAAGTAGAATCAGCATATTAAACAGTTCATCGTTATATTAAATTTTATTTTAAATGGGTCTTCTAAATAAGACAACTTAGTAAAACAAAAATAAAGCGTCTTACTCATTCTAAAGTTTGAAAATAGGGTCAATAACTTAAAAAATCTTTAAAACAAGTAACCAGGAAATTCTTAAATTAGAGAAAGAAAAAAAATAATATTAAAGATTTAAGCAAATTTTATCTCTTCATCTGGTTACAAAAACTATTTGAGAAAGAAGTTAAAAAAAAAAAAAAAAAATTAAAGATTATATTTTAGATTTCATCATCAACAAAGTTTCACAAAAAAACATTCAATTTAGCATCCATAACCTCCAAAAAGAGGTTATGGATGCTAAATATTTCAGATGAGTCAAAACCAATAGGCTTTGACTTTAAAAATTGAACCAGAAGAAGTCAAAAAATCAGTGTATAAATATAAGGTGGCAGGCTTGGTCGGGAAGCGGGAGCGATCGCTCTTGATTGCTGACCACGTAAATGATATTTAGTTGCGAAAAGCTGGCCAGATTTTTTAGCCGTTTTGAGAACATTTTAAAAAGCAAAAAAAAAAAAAGCGACTAAGATTAATTGGACCGATCAGAGACAGTTACAAAAAAAAAAAAAAAAAAAAAAAATAGGCAAATAAATATCTTTAAACGCAAAAAAACTTATAGCTAAATAAATTACATTTAGAACAAATATTTTCGAAACATCGCTCTTTTACAATTTTTTTAATAAAATTAAGTAACAACTTACGATTGTTTAAAAGGGAATCAAATATTCTTTATTTAACTAAGTTTGCAAGTTTTAGTTTTACTTAAGCTTAATTTATTTTATAAATAAAAAAGTTAATTTTTTTAATACCTATTTTATGTTTCGCGTAGTTTGAAAAGTTTAACATATTTAAAGCTTCTTAGTAAGATAAACAAATGAAATAATTAAATCATTGAATTACTATAGGAATTAAATTATCATGATAGAAATCAACTAAAAAGGTTAAAAATACTTAATGACCAGGAAGCGAAACTGCTTCACAATATCGCTGATGATGTTTAGTGAGTGGGCTTTTAAATTTTAATTAGTATTTAAAGCAGCAAAAAGTATAACGAGTTTTAAGAATGGCAATTTAAGCGAAAATAATTAAAGTTAGTAAACCTATATCTAGAAACTTTTCTTTAAATCTAATTATTTGGTATATATATTTGTGTTCTGTTGTGACCTCAGGCGCGATGCTTGTTCATCCGCGACTTACTTTGTATGCGTTGTTTGTGTTTAGTAACCAGAAACTTCTTATATGTTTGTTACATAATTAGTTTTATTAACTTTAACGATTATAACTTCATTGAAAACGCAATTATTTTTGCAAGTCTTTGTTTAAATCATAAAAATTGCTTTAAAAGATACATTACGATAAAAAACAAATACACAAAATTACATTTACATAAAGAATGCAATCTCTTTTAAAATAAAAAATAAGAATATACTAGTAAAATCTATGATTTATAATAAACTTTTAAAATTTTGATAACTTAATATATATTAAACATTTATTTTTGAAAGCAAATAATAAATATTTTTAAAACAATTTTTGCTAGAAATCTCAAAACGTAACAAATCGCGATAATAATACAAATTCTAAAACATTTCAACAGAATACTCTAGAACTTTATTTCGCTTAATCAGCGTATTTTTTGAACCAATAGAATTAGTTTGTTCGTTAATTTGGCGGGTTTTTAGTGTTCGCAAATATTCTTTTTATTCTTGCGCTCAAAGATGTTTTGAAAACATTTAAGTTTTTTATGTTTCCATGTATGTCCGTAAAACAAAATTTTTTTATTTCATACATAAACTTAAATGTTCTCAAAACAACTGAAAAACCTGGCCAGTTTTACGCAACTAAATATAATTTCCCTGGTCAGTATTCGAGAGCGATCGCTCCCGCTTCCCGACCAAGCCTGAGGTGGAAGCTATCAATTCAAAACTTACTCTTTAGTTAGGGATTTTTAAAAAAAAAACATTTGGTAGTAAGTTATTTTTAAAATTTTGAAGGGTCAAAATCAAAAGATTTTCTTAATGAATTGAAATTTAAAAACAATTTAGCCAAAAGAAGCCAAAATATCATAATGTAGTAGAAGCTATACAGCAATGCAAAACTTACTATTTACTAAATAGTATTTAGTTAGGGATTTTTTTGGTTGAATAACAAAGTTCAGCCATTTGTTAATGGGCATAAAAGGTAAGAAGTTGTATCTTATAGAAAAACACTCATCAATTATTTACTGACTATGTTAAAAACTATTGGATGATTTAAAAACAGCAACTTCTGGATACGTTTGGAGCATTCCCAACATTCAAAGTGTGCAAATAGTTATGGCTCATGATGAGTTTACTCAATCATTTAAAATCAGTAACTTAGATCAAGTCAACATAATTGTTAATAAAAGTCAAATATCCATTATTAATGTTGTTGTTTATTAAAACTAATCATGAATAAATTCATTTTCTTGATAGAAGATAAAAAATTCCAAAACAATAAGTAGAACAGACAAAATTAAAATAATGCTCGCATAAATTAAAATAATGCTCAAAAAAATAAAAATATTATTTATTATTTATTTTTTTGATATAGTAATATAATAAATTGACAGACATCCTTATCCTTTCTTCTTTCACATAATAATATTACATATTGATTTCTTATATAACTATATTTTCATTATGAAATATAGATTCTTAAAAAACCAATTTGCAAATAATATTTTTAGAGTTTCTCTCTAGAAGTTATAAAAACTTGCAAAAAATTATAACTATAGTTTTCTAGTGAAAAGCACAAGAGTGATCTAGTCTGTAATTTGTTTTACTAATATAACAACAACTTGTTATATTAGCAAAGATCGATAACTGATAGAAGATATAAAATCCAAGTAATTTTGTTAAACCTGTTCATTGTTAAAAAAAATTTTTATAAAATGCTTTTTCAATATATTATAAAATTAGGCCTAATAATTGCTAGCAATAATAATAAATAATTAATTTTATTCCCAAACACAAACTTACTAGAACTAGCTGTTTACTAGATTATTATTTCTTATTTCCAGAAATTTTTTGGGCATACTGGTCTAAAAATCCTGTCTACCTTAAGAGGACTTTTTTTTTAACACAAATTTAACTATAATTATTTATTGTAATATAACTCGACCTAGTATTTTATGTTTTTCCTAATAAAAATGGAAACAATTAACCAAAATAATGTTACATTTATTACAAAATGACAACTTTAATGCCAACATCGATTCACCGCTAGTTTTCATTTACTTGCTTTATTCGCCTACTAATATAAAGGGTATTATTTCATAAACAAGCGATAACTATACATTTAATAAACAATATTTGTATATTTCTTTTATAAAGACTTAAAAAGATTTATTACATAGCATATTTATTGCATAACATGGTCAATTCATTCAAAAATTTTAATTAATCTATTCAAAAATTAATAACTTTTTTTTCTTGTTCTACTCTTACTTTTCAAATCAAGTTTTTTGGCATGATTATTATAATGTTACTATGTTTTAAAAACTTTTATTTGTTTTATTATTTAAAATATTTTTAATGCAATTTTACTGTTATTTAAAATGTTTAATCGCTTTGAAATCGCTTTATATTATGTAAACGTAAGCGGAGGAGAAACCAAATTAGAGTATTTTTAAAATGTTAACAATTTTACTTAAAAATGCTAAGCGTTTTATATTTTAATTCAATCACAATGCGCGTTTTACATTTTAATCCAATTGTAACTTATTTCATATTTCATCAACGTGAATCCAAATAATTCGAATCTCATTGACTTAAAATTTATGCGTTTTAAAAGTCATTTTTCAAATGTTGGTTTTTCAAGTGACATTAATAACATAACAAATTTCATTATCATAGTTATCATAACAAATTTTATCACAAAACAATAAGTAATAAATTGTTTTATTTTATTTTTTTGGATGCCAATATAAAATTGTTTTAAATTGAGTTTTGGCTGAAATTTGGGGGCCCATACTAGTATACCGGTATCAAAATCGGCCTTGATACGTCACTGTTAGTTTATTCTAGAGACTGGTTTAGTAACAAGAAATTAAAAGTTAAGAAATTTTTATTTATTAATTTGCTATTTAATTATTAAATATAAAACAATTATTTCTATAATAAAGCAAAGTTGAAACTATTGGAAGAAGATGAAGAAGAAGTAGCGCGAGACATGGAGGGTCTAATTACATTCTATTGCAAATCTAGAGGAGAAAAGTATCGATCATCAAGTGGTTTTGTTGAACTACTTTCTCAATTTATTATCATTGATCTTCAATTATCTGAAGTCTATAACTGTTTTTATGCCATGCAATCAAAATTTCTCCCAAGGTAATTATTTATTTACTTCAATATTAGGCTAATCATTTTGCTGTTGATAATACTAATTGAATAATTTTATGCTTATTGAAAAGTTGCTATATATTGAATAGTTATGCTTATTGCATAAGTGTTCTTCACTTTAGTAACACTCATAGTATGTAATAAAATGTAACAGTGTTACAAAGTTGTATAATATTTTTTGTATAATTTTGTATAGAGAATGTTATCGTGAAGGTAAACCATTCCATTTATTTCGTCAATTGCTTCAATACCACGATCCTCAGTTGTGCTCGTTTCTTGATTCAAGAAAAATTCCTCCTGACTTATATGCTCAAAAATGGGTAATCATTTTGGATATTATTTATTACTAATCACTTATTACTGATGTATTTGTATTCTCTTTTTTTTTTTAATTTTTTTTAGCTCAGAAGTTTATTTGTTTCAGTTTGTGACACTGATGTAGTTCATGCCATGTGGGATATTTATTTTCTTGAATCTGACCCATATCTTGTTTTCTTTTTAATGCTGGTAATGGTGCTGAATGCTAAGTAAGTGGTTTTGGTTTTTAATTGTGTATGATGGACTAGTTGAATTGCTGTAATGTTTTATAAATAATAATCCACTTGTAAATTTTTGTAGTATAATTTTTTAGAGACCAGATTTTGGGAATGTCAACAAAAAACAAATCCTCCATTGTAGGTACAAACTTGAATGTTTTACATTTTTATATATACTTTAACATTTTTTGTTTTGAATGCTACCATATTTCTAAGCTAAAAACAGTTTGTTTGTTTGTTTTTTTTGTTTTTTTTAGTTGTAGTTTTTTCATTTATTAAGATAAATAAACTTCAATAGTCTTAACTTTAAAGTTAGCTCTATTCAGTAGTTAAAACTGTTTGTAATAATTGAAAATATTCTTCAAAACAAATCGATAAAATATATAATTATTTTGCATAAAATTTTCTCCATTTTTTTATTACTTTAGATATGATTACAAATTTTCCATCTCAACTTGGAGTTGATGACATTGAAGACTTTTGTACTCTTTCTCAATACTATGCAGATCGAACTCCTCAATCATACAAAAAAGTATGTTTGAATTAATTTTTTTACTATATTCACTTTAAGCGGCTTTTTAGTTAAGGACAATACTTGTTTTTAAAATTTATTTTTTCTAATTGTTGTTATAAGATTCTGAAACATACAGCTATGAATCCATAACTCTGAATCATGAAACTTGTGCATAGAAAAATAAGTTAAATGCTTAGATGTGGAGTGTTGAAACTTTGTACCTCTAGTTTATGGTGCAAATGTCACGATCACATTTTAGCTTAAAAGTAGCATTAAAAATAGTAGTTTTAAATATTGATTTTTTTTTTTATCTGAACAAAATATTTAAATTTGCTTATATATTCTATTGATAAACCAAATTTAATGTCAAATTATTATTTTTCATGAATTTTTTTGCTCTGAATAATATTTTAAATTATTACATAAATATTTATTACTGATTTTAATAAATTACTTTAGCAAAGTGTGCAATTGGATTTAGTTTCTACAATATTTTAAAAATTTGATTTTTATTAGGAATTCCAACCATTTTTATTTGGATCAAAGATTACCACATCTGATTATATTTCAAACTCGCTGTGTTTACAAGTGTCAGTAAATGAATTGCTTGAAGCAGTTAAAAGTCCATCTGTATGTTGAATATTTTTAAAATTTTCCATTTCTAAATATATCATTTTTTTACATAACTAAAAATCATGTTTAGCAAATATGTTATAGAATGAAGGTATTCGGTTTTTTTTGGTTGATTGTCGCCCAGCTGATCAATATAACAATGGTCATTTGTCTACAGCTTTTCATTTGGATGCAAATTTGGTAATAAAATTTTTAATTTAATAATAATGGTTATCAATAAACATCAGCACAATGGGAAAATAATTGAGATTTTTAAACTTTTGCAAAGATTTAATTTTTATTAAAATTAAATTAAATTGCTTGTTGGCAGTTGGTATTTTATTTAAATCGCAGGCGCATTTTTTTTTTTTTTTTTTCCTATTTTTACAAATAAAAGAGTTGGAAAATTTTTTTTATTAACGAGACTTACTAATTAGAGCACTAAGTTATTTTTTTAAGCAAATTTTTTTGCAACATTTTTGAAAAAATAAATGTTTACAATTTAAAAATATTAAATACAATACTTTTTAATAAATTTGATAAAATTTGTTCATTTATTAAATTTAGTAATTGCCACTTAATTTAATAGCGTTTTGCGTAACTTTAATAAAACGTTTAAAAAGATTTATTTCAAACGTAATTAAAAACGTAACAAAGAGTTTCGCTTCGAGTTCAAGTTTTTATTTTTTATTTTTATTTTAGTGCTTATATAATTTCTTTTTCGTAAATAGTTTTCTTTTGTTAAGATTTTTTTTTTTCATTAGTTTTTTTTTTTAACTTTTTTCCTAGTTTTTTTTTTCCTAGTTTTTCTCTTCTAGTTTTTTTTTCCTAGTTTTTCCTAGTTTTCTTTCCTAAAAATAACTTGGCGTTTCTACATTCAGCGCATTTTTGATATTTTAAATCATCAAAACATATAAGCAATCGTGGTCGAGTTTTCAGCAATAGTGCTCGATTGCACGCCATTCCTGTCCAAGCCTGATGTTCATTTTTTTCCAAATTTAACTATATTTGTCAAAATTAGTTTTCAATGTTTTAATTTTTCTTTTATGATTTTAGTTCATTTAACATGAATCTAATTTTACTTATTGCACTTAATATAGAAAATAGTTTTTAAAAATATGTAAATAAATTTGAAATAAAATATGCTTACTGTTAATAAATAATTAATAATTATCATTCCAGTATATGAAAGGTAGCGTTTTTTAGGAATATTATTAATGTCATTTATTTAAAGATGCTGCAAGCTCCATCTGAATTTCAAACATCTGTTATGGCATTGTTTGCTACTCAGCAGCAAGCTATAGATGCTGGTTCAAATGCGGCAGGGGAACATTTATGTTTTATTGGCTCTGGTAGGGAATTTGAAGATCAGTATGTGAACATGGTTGTTGCGAATTTTCTGCAGGTTATTATATACATTTTGATGTTTTAAATATAGTTTTATGAAAGTTACATGATTTTATGAATATCATATATATGTTTCTGTATTACGTACATTTAGTGTGCAAGTAATGTTTAATCTTCTTATTTGTTTAAATTAATGACTGAGTACATAGTATATTAGTTTCATAGATATAATGGTTTACTGTGGTCTGCTGATTGTTATCCTAAAATAATTGTTAAAAAAAGTTTCTATTATATTGATTTGTTGTTAATAACTTAACATTCCCATTATTTTATTAAATTACTGTTGCTATAAGTCCATTATGTTTTTATGAAATGGTGTCTAAATGCCTGTATTTTTTCAAAAATCTGTTATTTTGCTATTAAATAGAAGATAAAATAACATAAAACTGTTAGCACTCTGATTTTTTATAACTGTTATGGAATTGGTCTCTAATTACATCAACAGCTATAAATTAGCGTTAAAAAGTAAGGAAATAGTTAAACGGGGTTTGAATTTTTTATTTAAAACTTGCATGAAAATTGGTTCAATTTTGAATAATTTGACTCATTGTTGACTAAAAGGAAAAGTTATTTTTAATTGTTATTTAATTCATTTTTTTTTTATTACATTTTAGTTGAAATGTTTTTAAAAAAATATTTTATTACTTGAAAGTTTTTACTTTAAATTAAATTTTGAAGTTACTTTAAAATTTAAAGTAACTTCAAGAAATTTAATTTGAAAGTGTTATACTTCAAAGTATTTATTGATTCAAATGTAAGTCTTTATAAATCGCTTACTTATTTTGCAATTATGAATTTATAATTTTAAATTTAAATTTTTTTATTTAATTATGAAGAAAGAATATTTAGATAAGTTGCCTGTTTAAATTGACATGATAATGTGTATTGCTCATTTTATAGTTTTTTGACATGTTATAAAGCAATGTTTTGGTATAAAACATTTGTATATAATTTTAATTAAAAAAGTAAAATTTTTTATACAGTTTTAAATATTCATAATATTTACAATTGCAATACAATTATTAATTTTTATTTAAACATTGCCATTGTTTTGTATTGATGTATTTTGTAAAAGAATTTTCTCTCTTTAGTAACCAATAAAATTTATATAGACCAGTTTTGTTAAAACTTGTTTCTTTTATTTTGATAGCGTGGCACACATTTTGTTAGTATTGCAAAAGGTGGATACGCTGGTATGTTTTATTTTAATATGGTAAAGAAACCAAGTATTTTACTAAAAATATTTTGCACATAATTTATTCCTAATCAAACCTTTTTTAAAAAAGATGATACTCAATAATAATTTTAACATTAAAATTTCTAACATACAGTGTTACAATATAACATAGAAACATGAAAAAACACAAAACTGTCAAATAAAGCTATCAAGTCCAAATTTATTAACTTTCATTAAACAAAATTAGGCAATAGTGAGGCAAAATCATAGAGTTAACTCAATTAGTTGATTGATTTTATAGCCTTTTTTATTTCATTTTATTATTATTATTATTATTATTATTATTATTATTATTATTATTATTATTATTATTATTATGGAATTAGTCTCATTTATCTCATTAATCCACCTTTGTAAACTTCAGCTAATATTGCCGACCAAATAATTGAAAGCATTGAGATAAATTTGGTGATATAACATAATTGACAATTTTAGCTACAAATAGATTCTTTGAATCATTAAACTAGTTTCATGTGAATAGTTGTCAAATCAGGCTAAAATATGTAATTATTATCATAATAAAACTTTTTTATAATATTGAAATTAAGCTTGATTGTGATGCTCCTTGGTTTTTTCAATAAGAAAGTACCCCCCCCCAACTCTATTTTTACCAACACAAAATCATATTATCAGCTTTATTGGATACTTTTTAATGAAGTCTAACAATATGGAGAATTGGCTTTGTCATTGCTATAAAAAAAAATTGTTTAAAGTTTTTATTCTTTAGCATTATATCTGATTTCAGGTAAAAATTTGCCATATTATAATCACTATTGATTTTTCCCTAAACATTTTGCCAGTTTTTTTGCATTTTACTTTTATTATTTGATTATGAGTGTAATGGGTCTTTCTTGCACCTTCTTAAAGAAATTGCATATTTCTTGCATATTTCTTTAAGATCGTTTACATAGTTGATGAAATAACAGTGTAAAACTTTGAAAGTTTACCAAGAGATGCCCCATTTTTATCAATATTTCTTACAATTGCTGACACTTGGGCAACAGATATTTTATGAATTTTGCAACCACTCCCTAATTTGTAAGTTGTTGTACTACATTCTTTGCATCTTTGTAATATACCATATATTTGTTCAGTGTGGAGCTCTCTTGTTCAAATAGTGTCTAGCAGTGGATATATTTTTATATTTAATATGAGTTTTATAAAATTTTGTTATACTTTTTGTTATGTTTTCTCATTTAATTCTGAATGACTGAGCAAATAATAGTTATGATTGCTAATTGGTCTTTTGTATTATAACTATTGTTATAATAGCTATGGTAATTTATTTTTTAATTAAAAATAGTTTAATTCTCTGCATAGTTGTTATCAAGATTTTCATTACAATGTTGCAGTAATTTACATGTGACATAGGTCAAACTAAAATGCTTTAGTTGCATCACAAATATTTTTTGGATATCTTTTAAGTTATTTTTTCTGAACAAGTAATTTTACAAAAAAGACTTGTGAGGGGATGGTATCAGCATTCCAACACAGAGCTGAAAGTTGTTTATTTACATCGTACATTTATAAAAACATAAATATTGTATTTAAAATCCAAGACAAGCAAGCTATGAAAGGAAAACAACAATGTACTTTAACTAACTCTAGATTTTATTATTTTTCTTCATACCAGCGTTATGATCACATTGTTCCTTTAGATTTTTTTAAACCTGGAACATCAATTTTTCTGGCAATAATTTCTAGTGCATGACTATAAGATTTGTGTAAAAATTTAGCTAGTGGTACTTTTGGTCACACATTGCATGAGCATAAGTACCACAACCTGGTCTATCACACAAAGTGGAGTAAAACAACTTTAGTGGGTGATGCCAAATTATTTAGAGTTTTGCTAAATTTTTTATTCATTTAATTAGCCAAGTTGATGAACATGAGTTTCATGTGCTTCAGTTTCAAGATTAATTAATCAAAATAATTTTATTTATAAGGACTTTAAATATGAAGATTGTTTACAACTTTTTAAGGTTATTGATTGTTATCAAAATATGAAAAATTATTTTCGAAATAATATAAAATTTTTCAAAACACTTTGCCATAAAATTAATCATGTCTCATTTTTTTAAACAATTAAATTTAAATCTTTTTTTTACATGTAAATATACATATATATATATATATATATATATATATATATATATATATATATATATATATATATATATATATATATATATATATATATATATATATATATATATATATACAATCCTTGGAATAAGAAAAAATGACCTCAATCTTTTAACAGTCGGCAAAAAAAATTTGATACCAAAGTCTTACCATAAAACATAAGAGCAAGGTTGGCAATATCTTGCCGATCTCAAACACTTTAAGGTTGGCATTACCGAATGCTGAACCTAGTTCCGAGTGCTGTATATATATATATATATATATATATATATATATATATATATATATATATATATATATATATATATATATATATATATATATATATATATATATATATGGTAAAATTTATATTTTTATGAAAAAATTTAAGCTCTTCATGAGTTGTTGGCAGACGATTTGAAAAATAATCTACGTGATCATAACCCAAAAGGATGTATAGTTTGTTCACCAGAAGCTGGAATTAGCTCTGAAGATGAGGTATATTACTAAATTATATGTATGTGTGTGTACATATATATACACACACATACATATATATATATATATATATATATATATATATATATATATATATATATATATATATATACACACAGGGGTGTGTAGTAGTGTAAAAAAAGTAACTAATCTGACTCCAGTTGTTGAAATTTTTTAAGTACAACTCCGACTCCAACTCCAAAGCAAAATTTTAGAAAAATTCTTTGAATTCCTTCAAAAATATTACCCGATAAGTTAATAATTTCTTTTTTGACAAATTCATGAAACGTTCTTTGAGGTTTAGTATGAACATAAGGTTAGTTGAATGTTTTGTACATGCATGTGAAATACCTAGAAGTTTTACTCCGCTGAAAATGTCGCGACTCCGGAACTCCGACTCCGACTCCACAGCTCTGTGTATGTATATATATATATATATATATATATATATATATATATATATATATATATATATATATATATATATATATATATATACACACATACAGTAGCATAGGGAGGATTTTTTGGTGTTTGAGATAATTTCCAGACATCGAGCAAACTTCAAATATTTGTATGTTTATACTTACGTCAAATAAGGATGGTTTGCAAAAAATTGATGCAAAAAGGATGCAAAAAATTGCGATGACAAAAAAATCCAAAACTTTTGCGCGCCCTCCCCTAAACATGAGAGCAACAAGTTGATAAAATTTTTTTTTTACTATTCTTAACTAGACTTATATTCATCGATAAGTTTTAAGTTTTATAGTATAATCTCTTAGCATTCAAAAATTATGACTATATTAAATTTGTGACCCGCTGAAATTGAGGGGGTCACAAATTTTATATTGTTTATTGGCTTGTAGCAAACTTTGTATGTTTTTAATTAGAATTTATTTTTGTGACAGTATTTTAATATAATTAAAGTTTGCTTATTTACGAGTTTTAAAGGTTTTGGGTATGCATAGTGAACACCTTTCAGAAATTTGAGAATATAGATTATGTGAAAATTAAAGTTTAGTTTAATTTTTTTTTTTTTTTAAATGTCAAATGTAGTTAGAGGACAGTAGGTTTTTGATATTTAATATGTTAAAATTAAATGGTAAGTCTATTAAAATACTATTTAAAAAATAAGCAGTATTTTAGTATTTTTTTTATTAAAAAATTTATGAAAGTATTTATTTTATGTTAGTATTTATTAGTATATGAATTATTATTGGTAATAATTTACTAATTTCATAATTTACTAATTTTAAATATTTTAAAATTATTTTAAATAGATTTTTACGTTATCTTTCTCTGCATTTGATTAAAAGCAAAAAATCTAATCGTACTTTAATTATAGGCCAAGACTATAAAAATATCTTTATTTGTTTCACCAATTTATTTTTATAACTTTTTAATATCATTTTTGCTGTTTAGAGTCATGAGCTTTCAAAAGGAGATTTATCGCCAATGTCTGCACCAATGTCGCCAAAGGTAAGTATTTGTAACTAATCAATATTTGTGTCTAGCATTAATATTTATTTATATATATTATTCATGTTTTATTTGTTATTTTAATAATATTTTGTTATAGACACGAATGGTAGATAAACTTTCAAACACCATAAGAAGTCGGGGAGCCGATGTCAAGGAGCGTTTAGGTCGTTTAATTAATGAGAGCAAACCTCAAGACAGGTTTCCATTTTAACTTTTATTTTTAATTATATAAAACAATATAAAATCAAATCTTAATTTTTTAACATAATATTATTTTTTTATTAAAACATTTTTTGAGTTTATTTTCAACCTTAGGCATTGTTTATTTTCAATCTTGGCTTTTTAGAATAAATACTTTAATGTTTAATATAAAATTAAGTACTTAAAAAAATTTAATTCATGCATCTTTATACATGCAGGGCTCAATTTATCACAAGAAAAATCTATTTGCAGAAAAAAAAATTCAAATATCTTTGTTTTAACAATATAAAAAGCTTGTGCTAATGCAAAACAACTTTGTGACACTGTTTTATTGTTGTTTTATACAGTTTATAACCTTAATAACACATTTAAAATTAAACTAAGTAAATAAATAGAATGGTTTTAATTAATAAATTAAAACATCGTCAAAAAATTTTAAACTTCATATTTACACGAACACTTCTTAATTTAAAAACAATTAAAAAAAAAATGTCTATAGACCATACGAGTTTATAATCTATAGACCAAACAAGTAAGATCAAAGCAAAAAAACATTAGATACAACATTTTTTATAATTTATTGTTTCTTAATAAAAAAAGTTTAAGTATAATTAAGTTTTTCAAGTTAATATTTTGCTTCTGCTTTTTTATTCAAATTGTTTTGCAATAAAAAGTGATAAAAAAAATTTTGGTTCAATAAATCGAATTTCCTTAAAGGGATTCCAAATCTCTGAGACATGTGTTTAAATTAAAGGGAATGATTAAAAAAATGCTAAACATTTTTAGTTAAAACAAAAGAATAAATGCATACCGAGAAAAACTAACTTTTTTGTTTTAGTCAAAACTCGTCTTTTCCGTTTTGTTGTAGGCCAAATAGTCTTCATAATATAAAATTGTTAAAATAAGAGAATTTTAGTGTAGCAAAATTCTTTTGTTGAAATAGATTTCTTTTTAAATAAAATTCCTAAAAATAACTTGTATTTAACTTGTAAATAAATGTATTTATAGATGTTTAATCTTGATATCGCTTTAAATAAAACATAAAAGAAAATCATATTTTTTATATGTTATTTGAGATTTCTTGTTAAAATAACTTTTTTTGTTAGAAGTCTTTAATATGTGTTAACAACATATAAGAAATAATAGAAACATTTATATAGCTAATTTTTGCTATTCTTTGAATATATTAAGTAAATTTAATAGTTGAAAAACTGTAAGTTACTGTAGTTACATTACTATAGTAACATTACTGTTTGTTTTGATTTAGTTTAAAGGTAAAATTACTGTGATGTACTCTATCCATTCAGTAAATCAAACAAAATATTACTTTAAATAATATTGGGTTCCACACAGAGATTTAAAGTCATTTAAATTCAAAAGCATATCAAGTTGAATATAGTCTTCGCAAAATAAAGCAAAGATCACACTATTATTTAAAAGATAAATTAGCGTGACATACTTTAACCCATTTGGGACCAATTTTTTTTTTGTAAATTTTTTAAATTTTTTATTCCATCTATGTGAACACAGGAAAAAATATATTTTTACAAAATAAGAGTATTGATGTCTTTGGAGGATATAAATAAATGTTCTATTTAGGAATGCTAGTCTTTATAGCAAGTAAATAAAATTGACAGAATTAGCAAAACATCAAATTATTTATTTGTTGTTTTCCATTTGGGAATGCTGGATCAATATGGGTTAAAACCCCTAATAAAAAATTTAGACAAAAACATTACTTTTAAAAATGGCCAAAAAAATGCTAAATTAAGAATTTAAAAAAAAAAAAAAATTAAAATTAAAAAATTGCAAAAATATTTTTAAAAAATAATAAACTAATCTTGAAGGTGTAAAAACAAATCACGATTTACGATTGCAATACGCTTAATTCGAGTCCTGACATGTAATATGCTAGAGATAAATAATAAATCATTTACATATCCACTAATATTTAAGTTTACATATCCACTAATTATCTATTAAATATCCACACAATATCCACTATTATCCACACAATTTTACATTAATTATCCACACAATTATATTAATTATCCACACAATATACACTATCCACACCATATCCACTAATTATCCACACAATATCCATTTACATATCCACTAATATGTAAATTTTAATACTGTTATTTTGTATATATATTAGGGTGGGTCATAAATTTTTTTTTTCTTGTTACAGGCTCTAAACATTGCTAATAGTTATTAATATTGATACTATCAAATATGAGAATGATTGTGAAAGATTTAAAGGGCGCAACTTTATTGGGAAAATTACCGGTACCCTAATATTTTGTAGAAAAAAAGTTTTTCAAAAGTAGGTCAACCTGGTACTCAAAAGAAGTGAAATTTTATAAAAAATTTGAAAATATTAATCATTTTATAAAAATCATATTGCCAAAAAAAATGGTTATTGAAAAATATGTAAAAATGCACCTTTTTCACTTTTAGTTAAAAAACTATAGTTATAATGCAATAAAATCTAAAATAATAATTTTTATATGAAAAAATTATTATTTTTGAAATTTTTATAAGAGTTCGCTTTATTTGAGTACCTACATCTCATAATTTGGAAAAACTTTTTTTTTAGACCATAGCCAGGTAAGCAACTCTAAAAAAAAATTTTATGACCCACCCTAATATATATATATATATATATATATATATATATATATATATATATATATATATATATATATATATATATATATATATATATATATATATATATATATATATATATATATATATATATATATATATATATATATATATATATGTATATATATATATATATATATATATCAAAGAAGCTACTCTAAAGAAACATCGAAGAAGCTACTCTTAAGAAACATCAAAAAAGCTACTATATATATATATATATATATATATATATATATATATATATATATATATTTATATATATACTATATATATATATATATATATACTATATATATATATATATACTATATATATATATATATATATATATATATATATATATATATATATATATATATATATATATATATATATATATATATACTATATATATATATATATATATATATATATATATATATATATATATATATATATATATATATATATATATATATATATATATATATATATATATATATATATATATATATCAAAGAAGCTACTCTTAAAAAACATCAAAGAAGCTACTCTAAAGAAACATCGAAGAAGCTACTCTTAAGAAACATCAAAGAAGCTACTCTTAAGAAACATCAAAGAAGCTACTCTTAAAAAACATCAAAGAAGCTACTCTTAAGAAACATCAAAGAAGCTACTCTTAAGAAACATCAAAGAAGCTACTCTTAAGAAACATCAAAGAAGCTACTCTTAAAAAACATCAAAGAAGCTACTCTTAAGAAACATCAAAGAAGCTACTCTAAATTTTTCTTAATAGTAAATCTTTATTTTAGCCTATCCTGAGAATATTATTGTCACACTTTATTATTGCATTAAATTTCACTGAAAACTTTTTGTTAGTTCAACTTAATGCATTTTCAATAACAGAGTTCCCTAGAACATTCTTGTAATATTCCTTTATGACCAAAGCTGAGTAATCAAATAAGTTACTTTAGCTGCTGAATCAGTCTGTGGTTTGAATAAAATAGACTTTTCAGAACACAGTTGTATAATCAGCCAATAGTTTCTTTAGTTGAAATCAAAAAGTCTGTTTAGCTGAAATCAAAAATCTTAGCTGAAATCAAAAAGTGACTGAATTAGAATGTTAAGAAAACAGCTATATAATAAAATGTTAAAAAATATTGTTGCTTGTTTGGATGTTATTTGTAATTTATTTATTTGCATCTTTAATTTTGTTGAGTTTATTGGTGTTTTGTGAATTGGTTTCTGATAATAAATATTTGAGTATTAGCTTTCAGGTTTTTTTTTAAATGGATTAAAGTAATAATTACATTAGGTTTTACCTTTTTTTTCTACTAATCTTATTTCTCTATAAGAGATTTTATGTTTTTAATATTTAGACATATAAGTGAGAAAGATGCAAAAGGAAAAGGTTATAGAGGTGTCAATCTGGATATTTTTAGTATTGAGGACCCTGATGGTAAGTTTTTATAAATAAAAACCGTCTAAGTTTGGTTATTTAATTTTACTTTAGAAATATAAGCTTTGAAGTTGTTGAAATTGGAAAAGATTATATACATATTATACAGAATGTATATTTTAAAAACAGTTTGGAGTTGAATAAAATATATATATATATATATATATATATATATATATATATATATATATATATATTATATATATATATATATATATATATATATATATATATATATATATATATATATACATATACATACATACATACATACATACATGCATACATACATACATACATACATACATAGTGTGTGGTATTTTTTGTTATTATGGAGACTTACATAACAGTGTGGTACTTGTTGTTATTAAGGAGACTTACATAACAGTGTGGTATTTTTTGTTATTATGGAGACTTACATAACAGCGTGGTATTTGTTGTTATTATTAAGACTTACATAATAGTGTGGTGTTTGTTGTTATTATGGAGACATATATAACAGTATGATATTGTGAGAAATTTTGACAATATTAAATATTTTTTTAGAAACACCTTCAAGCGGAGATGAGAACAATGAGAGTGTAAATATTGATACATGGATTAAACGTTCAGATGTTATTCGTCATTTCCCATGTAGTGAAATTACTGTTTCTGGACAAATGTTTTCAAGGTTTTTGTTTATTTATTTATTTTATAAATTACACAATGCAAATATAGAAATTACATACACATATGCAAATATAGAAATTTGCATAAATAATTGTACATAAAGTAACTGTAATTAAATACTGATTGTTAGGTGAATTATTTTATTTGGGATCTTTCTTTTTTAGCTACATTTTATTAACTATGACTCATTTATTTATTTTGCGAGAAATTGTGGATAAAAATCGTGCTGGGTGGGCACATATTCAATCACGACCTCATTTATCTTCTATAATAAAGATAACGTCAAAGCGTAAACACCCAGATTTAATAACATTCAAATATGGCACAAGTAACGGTGAGGAATTTAATGTCACTGGTTCTCAAAGGTTTCTTATTCCGAACTCAAAGCAAGCTACAAAAAGGATAAAAGAAAGAATATTAAAGCTAATGGAATAAAAAAAAAATCTGAAAAACATCTAAATACTTTATATTGAAATTATTGATATCAAAACAAATGAAAGCTTCACTTTTAAATATAGACAACGAATTTATTTAAAATTTTTTTTTTTTTTTTTTTTTTATTGTATTTTTACAAATTTAAAGCTATTGAAATATACAAAATTGTTTAACAATAATAATTAAACGTAGTTAGGAAGTTATTTATAACTGTTAGATATATATATATTTTTTAATTTTAAAATTTTGCATCATAGTTTGAAAAAAAATATTTTTTATTTGTTTTTCACCTAATATTTTTTTGGTTTGCTCTATAAATTTGCATATCTTCTTGTTTTAATTCAGGTTTTAATGCAAATAATTTTCACAAATGCTTCTAATAAAATCTGTTCAGTAGTTGAAAATTGCTTTGTTATTTTTTAAAACTTCTTTGTTATCAGATGTTAAAACTGCATTGTAATCAGTTGTTTAAAACTGCTTTGTTATCATTTATTTGATTTGTAAAATATGTAATTTTTTTATATAAATACAATGTTTATAAAAATATGTTCATGGTTGAAACCAAAACTTGAACTTTTTTAATGTTTTAAGTTTTCTTTGTGTTAGGTATATTTTATGAAATATGGTGCATGTTTTAAAGTTTTCCATTTTAAATTTTTATTTAAAGCATGGTTAGGCATTTATTTATTTTTTATAAATGGGTTTTTTTTTTTTTTTCTTTTTTTTTTCCTTTAAAAGTTGTTATGTAGTGAAATATAGTGTTTAAAAAAAAAAGCTTTTTTTTTATATTTGCATATTATATTGTTGCAATAATACATATACAGAGTGATTTATATAGTTTTTTTTTTTTTTTTAATATATTAGTATTTATAATGCTAACAACTATATATTCTTCACTAAATTTATCTGATTGGCCAATTAATAATATTGGTTACGAAAAATATTAGTTTAAAAATAAAGGTTAAATGAATAAGTAAAATTGTTGCATGATGAATTGAATAATAAATATTCTCAATTGTTCAAATTAATTTTGCATAATGAATTAAATAATAAATAGTCCTAAGCCTTTGATAAAGTTTTAGTTAAAAGATAAATAGTATAGAAAAATATATTAGTATAGAAAATGTTATGTTAAATTTTTGTTTATATTTAATGTCACACTTTATTGGGAACTAAACATTTTTATATATGACATTTATTACTTATATTTTATAAATTATTTATTACTTATATTTTATAAACTATATTATTATATATATATATACATATATATGTATATATATATATATATATATATATATATATATATTCAATATAATTTAGCAATGCAAATTTAAAATAAAAGTATTTTAAACTTGAATGTGCATTTACTCAGGAAACTGATTTTGTATGTAACTGTTTATTAGTGCTGTTATTTTTTGCAGTATTGTTAAAATATGAAAAATTGACATGACATTTTGACTATCAGCATAGTTAACTTTTAGTATTTTTAGATTTTGTTAACTTGAATTTGAATTCTTTTAGGGAACTGATTTTATGTGTTTGTTGATAAATTTTAGATAAATATGGTATATAAAAGATAAAATGTGAACGTCAAAAATGGGTTCAATAAATGGGTAAGTTAATGAATAAATGGTTAAGTAAATTTAAACAATTTATTTTTATTTATAAATTTGTTTTTATATACAAATATAATTTATAATAACAAGTTAAATTTTAAATTAAGGTAAGCTTGAATTAGTAAATTCATTTTTTTTTTAATCTGGAGTAATAATTCAAATTTGCTTTAATTCAGGGGTATCAAAAGCAGTGATGGGTGAATTGTTTTGAGCTTTTAGGCCATATTTTAAATATCTTGGTTTGGTCTCAGTCATGGTTCCAAGTGTCTCAGTTTTTGGTCTTGTATGCAACCTAATGTCTTGGTTTTCTTGTATTGGTCTTGGTGTCTTTAAAGGTGATTCATTAACCCTATTCACCCCATATTGCACAACCTTGCACAACATTAGTTTTTTAAACTGGCATATCTGAAATAGTTGCTAAGCTCTAAAATTACCTGAACATTATATTATATTTGTCATGGTTATCATTGATTCATTGTGAAATAGGAAAGAAAAACATTTTATTTATCACTTCATTTTAATATTGAATTAGTTTCAAATTGCCATCAACTTACCTTATTTTATAATTCATTTTTTATCTCTTTCTATAAACAAATTTTATTTCAAGTACAGTGATAATATGAGCATTGGAGCTTAAAATAGTAAGTACCAAGAATGAATAGGTGTTGTTGATTAAACGCAGTGTGAATCATTTTTGGCAATAAAAACTATAATTATTAGTATACAATAACTAAAAAATATATTGATTTGACTGTTGTTTTCGAGACGCCCTTTTTCAATATCAGCACTAGTTTTTTTTTTTAACCTTGAAGCAAAATGATCTTTATTTTTTTCCAAAAAGATTTCTTTTAATCATGGCTGTATTGTCATATGTGCATCAAATGTATTGATTTTAACAAGAATTCAGGTAACAAAGCCAAAAATAATCATGTCGATTGTTTAGGTATCAAGATAAAGGGTTGCAAAGGCAATGCTTTGGGTAGCAAAGCAAAGTTATTTTTAAAAAACGTTATTGATCACTATTTTATTTAATAATAAAATATCTTAAAGCAATAGACAGTATTCACATTTTTGTTTTTTATATTAGTTCACCTCCCCAAGGCCGTGAAGGCCACTACAGCAAAGGAGGCTACTTGTGGTTATAACCCTCTTTTAACTCTATAACTTTGAAACATGAACCTTGATAATCAAGGTCGCTGTGCAGAGAAACAAGTTGAACGCAGTACTACCAGGGATATGTTGGGGATCGAACTCGGAACCTCTAGATTATGAAGCGAATGCTCTATCACTACACTACTACCACATACACAGTTTTTTTAGGCAGAAGTTTTAAAAAGTTTTTTTATCTTTATTATCTAAATTATTTAGGGAGAGAAAAATAAAAAGCATTAACAATAAATAAATAAACCAATAAAAAGATTTCCTATTTTTAACTCTTCCACAACTAGTAACTTAAGCATTAGGTTTGTCTTACGAAGTGCATTGTCACTAAAATAATCATATTTAGCTATTTATTATTTTTTAATAAGTATTCCCTTTATGTAAGAAAGTTATGCACATATTTTTCAGAAAAAAACTTTATAATTATTTTATAAATCTGACTAGAAATATTATATATTAATGAGTCACTGAAATGATATATACTCAAATATTTTTTAAGTGTGCATTGTTTAAAAAATAAAAAATAAACTGTTATATAATTTAATAACTGATTTATAGTTTGCACAAAATATATTACAAGTTCTTATTTTTTTTATTCGCAAGTGTAAGTACTACAATTGTGTATATTATAATCATTTCAGTGAGATTGATACATATGGTTTTATGAGACAATCAGACTTCGATTATGACAGCTATGAAACATTCATGAATAAGTATTTGCGCATATTAGCAAAACGGTTGTCAAAATGGGAAAAGTTAATGAAAAATAAAGAGAGTGTTAAAAGAACTCGTAAAGGTAAGGTTTGATGTAAGAAAAGAAAGATGTGTAAATTGTGATGAACGTGGTTAAAATTAAATTTCTTAATAATACGTATCTTCTTTTTATATTTTACTTAGTAAAAAGATACATCAGAAAAGGAATTCCATCTAATTTTCGCACTGAGGTAGTATTTTTAATTAAGAAATGATAGTTACATTAAAATGATCCTAATTTTTATGTTTATGATAAGTAGGAGCGAAGGGGCCGTTATGAGTAATAACTGTACACTGTTATGAATAATAATTTTCTTTGAAAAATGTGTTGATTAAGTGTGCATATATTTAGATTAAGTAAAGAGAATAACATTGTAAAGAAAAATCTTATCAGCTGTCACTTGAATTTATTGATATTTGATATAAAATGGACAATCTAGATTTGGTTATAACTATATAGTTTTAGAATATAAACATTGTGTTATTGTATAGAATATTCCATACTATTTACATTGAAGTAAAAATATCTTTTCTTTAAAAAAAAAGCATTTACTTTTAGTAATGCCATTTAAGTTGTTTTGAAAAAATGAATGGAGCACCTCTGATTCTTATTTTGAAGAGACAATGTTTTAAAATTTTTAAATAAAATTTTATATTCCATAACAGTAGACTTCAAAAACTTAACCAAACTAAGCCAAAACTAATGAGAAAATAATTTAATTTAAGTTGATTTTCTTATTATAAAAATGACACAATTAGCAAACAAATAGGTCTATTTGAAAGAAATCTTTTTTTGACCTCGTTCTTGCTGATTATTATTTTTTTTTTAATTACCAAGTTGACTATAAAGATTGTGTATGTGAAATTGAACCCTTATCCTGACCCAAGCTTAATCATTCTATGCTAATGATTGTAATATAGCATATTATGATGTTATGATTTCTCGAATAACCAAAAAAATATCAACTTGGTAATTAAAAAAAAAAATAATAATCAGCAAGAACGAGGTCAAAAAAAGATTTCTTTCAAATAGACCTATTTGTTTGCTAATTGTGTCATTTTTATAATAAGAAAATCAACCTAAATTAAATTATTTTCTCATTAGTTTTGGCTTAGTTTGGTTAAGTTTTTGAAGTCTACTGTTATGGAATATAAAATTTTATTTAAAAATTTTAAAACATTGTCTCTTCAAAATAAGAATCAGAGGTGCTCCATTCATTTTTTCAAAACAACTTAAATGGCATTACTAAAAGTAAATGCTTTTTTTTTAAAGAAAAGATATTTTTACTTCAATGTAAAATATTAAAGTGCTAAAACAGGTATAATATGTGGTAATGAAAGTATGTATGTAGCGAAACAGAATAAATATATTTAAAAAATACATCTGTTTACAATGTTTCAAAACTTCCCCATGCAAATTCAAAGCTAACCCAGGTTGGGGCAGGTTTGAATGTTTCTGCAGATATTGTCGAAATAAGAATTCCAACTTTATTTTTGACTTAAATTTTATAAAAATGAAATAAAGGAGAAGGATATAAAACCCCTAGTTTAATTTTAAGTTCCAGTCAAGGTTAAAGAAGCTTGTAAACCTTATTGATATTATTTACATTAAATTTTTAAATTTTAGGTGTAATTATTTCCAAATATATTCAAAATATTATATTTGAAATTTAAAAACTTTTTTTAACAAATTAAATAAATAGTATGTCACTATAAATGATGTATTTTTATTTTTATATATAAATATTATCATACTATTAAAGGGATCCCAAACTCCCAACACATGTTGTGTTCGTATTAAATATAATGTTAAAAAAAAAGGTTTGAACTAAATTTTTTTGATTAAAAATAAATAATGAATGCATACTGTGAAAAACAAATGTTGTTGTTTTTGCTTGTCTTCTCCATTTTTTTCAACCACTCGGAGTCTTCAAATTATGCGTCGCAATCTACAGACTTTGGCAATTCCTTTGAAGCGCGTTTAATTCATAAAAGTTTTAATATTTGACGTCACAATAGATTTTTAACAAAAGAAAAGTGTAATTAAACTATGTTTTTCTACTGTAGTATTTTTTTAACATACAGCAAAACAAATTTATTTGTATTATTTTTCCAAACATCGCAAAAAAAATTTTGTAAAAAGTAAAAACAATAAATTATTTTTATTTTATAGGAGCAACTTATTTTTTACAGATATCTTAATAACTTTTAAATTTATATATCTTACTTATATTTCTTTAATTATTTAAATTAAAACAAATATTAAAGCTTTACTTACCAATCTCATGATTTTCATACAAGTATTTTACATTATACAGAACGTTTTATATAGGGTCTCTTGTTTTTGCGCAAGAGAGAGCAGTATTATATATTCTGATTTTTAATTATTTTTATTTAAACAATGGGAACTATTTTCTAACTTCTTTGGTTATTTTTACGCTATGACATTTTTTTGTTTTCCCGTTGAAAAAAAGTATTTATTAACAATTACTTTCATAAACTGACAGTATTAATTAGAGATATTTAATGAATTGTTAACTTTTTTTATTATAAAATTTTTTTGATCACGCTGATTTAATTTAAATTGCTAAATTTGCTGAATTGGATACGGATAAAAAGGAAATACCATTTTATTTTACATTTGATTTTTGATAATTAAGTTTTTAAAATGTCAGCAACTCCATACCAATTAGAACCTGTTAAGATTATGAAGAAAAAAATACAAGAATACACTAAACAATACAGTTGACAGTAGTATCAGATATAAAAATTTGTGAAAGGATATGTGAGATCCTGATTTTGCATTAAAAGTACAAATAATTGCAACACAAGTCGGCATTATAAATTTTGATTATAAGTTTGCTGTTCAATATTTTATAACTATCAAATAAAAAACATGAAGTTTGTATATTTTCGCCCGTTTTATACAACTAATATTTAAAAAAAATACGGACAAATTATTATTAAATAACGCAATAATTAACACATTAATTAAAGGCAATAATTTAAGATAGATGGTAATTTAAATTGTTAAAATGTCATAACGCGCATTAAAAAACATTATATTTGGTATTTCCAAATTTGTGTCGTAATTGGCATTTGTCTCTTAACATTAAAAATTAAAAATTTTTAAAAACACAAATAACAAATACAAATTTTCAAGCAATTTTCTCTTCCAATTCTCATTTATTCAAAGAAAATTTACTATTAAACTTTCATTTCTCTTTTGTTCTACTCTTTTATAAAAAGAGCGCCCAATGAAATAAAAACTTTTCTTTTTTAACATATAACTATAGTTTGAGATAAAATTAAATTAGAAATAAATCATCAATGAGCAAAGCAACGAACAGATTAATCTGGAACTATTTTGATATTTATGAAAATAATCAACATATACAACATTACCAACAACAATTATCAAATAAACAACACAATCTCGCATAATTTTAGGGGCATTTTATTTTTTATTGCTTAGTCGTTCTAAATAATAAGTAAATTTAGTTCAAGTTAATAATTCAATATTTACAGTTGCAATATAATAAAGAAATGGTGTTTAATACTGAACTTTTTATTTAGTTATTTGTTTTTTTACCTACATTTGTTACAAAAAACTTAAGAACCCCCGTCTTTAAAATAATTTGTTTTAAATATATTTCGACGTGATAATTCAAACTAATTTTTTTCATTTGACTTTCCGAACTTCGTGCAAAGCAAATTGAAACGAAATATCATCTAACCAAATAAAAAAGCTGTTACTAATTTTGTACGAGTAATTAATGTAAAACAATTTTTGAGATGATAAATATTCATAATTTATAAACATTAAATATACGGTGCAATAACAATTTATAGCAACAAACCAGCATAAAATATTTGAGGTTTTTAATATCTTTTTAAATGTTAAAATTAGAAAAAAACAACTAAACAAATCAAAAAAAATTTGAATCAAAATAAATAAAAATTTTTCTAGAGTTTCATTTGTTAAAAGTTTAGTGTGACGTCAAATACTAAAACTTTTATGAATTAAACGCACTTCAAAGGAATTGCCAAAGTCTGTAGATTGCGAAGCATAATTTGAAGACTCCGAGTGGTTAAAAAAAAATGGAGAAGACGAGCTTCAGCAAAAACAACAACATTTGTTTTTCACGGTATGCATTCATTATTTATTTTTAATCAAAAAATTTGGTTTAAACCTTTTTTTTTTAACATTATCTTTAATATGAACACAACATGTATTGGGAGTTTGGGATCCCTTTAAGAGGTCACTAAAATATTTTAAAAGAAAATTACTTGCATACGTTTTTTGTAACTTTGGCTCAGCTAAGCTAAAGTTATAAAAAAGTATCTGTTATATTTAGGTATGGATGTATGCCTCTTTTGCACAATTTAATAAAGAAAAATTTCCCAATAAGTATTCTGAGATCCTTGCTCATCCAAATCTTGATAAAGTAGTTATAGATTCTATCGAGTTGGGTAAGATTATTTTTTTGTCAGTATGTTATCATTTTTTTAAGTTTTTAAATGATATAAAACATTGCAGTTTAGATCATTATATTTTTAAACATTTTTATAATATTTTTTTAGATATAAAACGAACTTATCCAGATAACATTTACTTTAAAGAGCTTGATGACAGCTTGCTAAAGCCATTATCAAACGTTCTTACTGCATATGCTAGTTATAACAGGAATGTTGGATATTGTCAAGTTGGTCTTTTATTTTATTAATATTTTGTTTTTAATATTTTAGGAAATGTCAAAAATATTCAATTTAGAAACTATTGTGTATTTGCAATAAAAGTAATTAGTAACTAATTGGTTAGAACCTAATTTAAAAAAAGTTATAAAAACCACCTATTAGTAAGTAATTTGTTTTATTTACAATTTTAAGTAGTTTTTGACAGGTTCTTAGTTCCAGTTACTCAAAGAATAATATTGGATTTTTCTAATTAATTGAGACTAACTCATAGAATCAGACAAAAAAAAAAATTGAATTAATTAAATCAAAAAGAGTTGTTAATTAATTTTTAGAATACAAAGTTTCTAAAAATTAGTTATTAATTTTTTTATGAATATATGTTAATACTTAATTGTGAAAATTATATTGAAGTATAGTTTGTTATATGTATGTATATAACTGTGTGTGTTAGTGTAGTAAGTGACTAACTCAAGTTATACTATTAGCAATGGTTATTAACCAGGGCTTAGATATAATTTATAGTAAGTTATATATTTATGTATCTATTTGTTATGTATATGTATATTGTCACATAATATGCATTATATATGTATATAGACTTTAATTAAAAATTGTGTTTGTTTTTTTGTATATATAAATATACATATGTGCTTACATGATGTTTCAGGTAACAGGCTTTGTTATGAGATTTTGTAGCTTAACAGAAAAGTGTAACGCAAGTAAATATAACTTTACTCAATAAACATGTTTACATTGTTAAAAGTTTAATCATGTCAGTTGCATATTATAAAGTACCACATTGTAATTAAGTTTAATTTGAAACCACATCAAAAATCGTTACCACATTAAAAGTTGTCTTCATAAAATATCTTTAAATTAGTATTTTTTTAATAAAGGGGGCAGTTGTTTATGTTTGAATTTTTTAATGGTCAAAAAATGCGGTAGTGGTGTAGTGGTAGAGCGCTCGCTTCATAAACGAGTGGTTCCGAGTTCGATCGCCACCACGTCCCTGGTAGTACCGCGCTCAACTCGTTTCTCCGCGCAGCGGCCTTGTTCGTCAAGGTTCGTGTTTCGGAGTTATAGAGTTGAGAGAGGGTTATAGCCATAAAATAAGTAGCCTCCTCGTCTGTAGTGGCCTTCTCGGCCTTGAGGAGGTGAAGTAAAATAAAAATAAAAAAAATGAAACTATCAACATATTTTTTTAACATTTTAGCTTTAATCTTTCCATCTACTCATAAACATCTACTTATAAATCTTTACTAATACTAATCATAAACTGTTTTCCAAAACTAATCATCAACTAATCATCAACTAATCATTTCTATTCGATGTTCATTCTATAATCAATTGATGATAAAGAAAAAATCTTTTGTTAAAAAGCAATTTCAAAATTTAAAAAAATCATCTTTTTATAAATTTGTTATATAAATTTACTGAAATAATTATCTAAAATATTTTAAATAAATCTATTAATTTTGCAGGCTTGATTATGGTTTATCCGGCAATCCATTCATAAACAGTTGAAAATAAAATTATTGATTTGAAACTATAAATAAATAAACAAAATAGTTAATGTTAACATTTTAAAGTAACTGGAAGTTTAGCAGTAAAAAAAAATAATTTCAAACTGACTGTTTTAAAATAAAATAAAATTTTTTTAATCAAATTTAATAACATAAATTTGTATTTATTATTATTTAAAAATAAAATTAATAAAATAAATTAAAATTAAAAGTTTTAAAAAATAGAAAATTAAAAAAAATTTAACCATCTGTTTTTTTTATCTAATAAATAAAATACTTTACATTAAGCATTATTTAATTGTGGAAAATATTTTTTTCACTATTAATTATTGCTTAATGTTTTCTGCATAAACTATTTTAAAAGACTGTTTAAATAATCTGATTTAAAAAATTGGTGAAACGTAAATAGTTTAATGCGTAGGCGAAATTGCCATTTTTTACGTAAAATTTAAATGGCCTAACACTTTATAACAAAGCCTTAAGTAATGCCATTGGATAATACATAAAAGTTTATCTGACAAATGTAGCCAATTAATATTGAGCATATAAGTTAATAAATTTAACACCTAATATTTATTGTTGACATAACAAAGAACATGAATAAAACTCTTGTTAACAAATTGTTATTACAATTCTCTCAACCTATAAATTTCAAAACTCAATCTTTGAAGAACAAGGTTGGTGTCCAGAGAAACAAGTTTAGCACAGTGGTTTAACAGTTTACCAGGGACATTGTATATGTTAATGTTTTAACAAGTTTAACAGGAACATTGTAGGTATTGAATTTAGAGCTTCTTGCTTAAAAAGTAAATTTTCTTCCATTGCATCAATAGTAAATTACAATTTACACTAACCGCATATTATTTTTAATTTTAAAGCAATCGTATATTTTATTTATATTTGATTCAATAATTGATTTATATAATTGATTTTTGTCAGTTTCGTGTGAATGATTTTATTCTTCATTTTTATTTTTTTTTCCAATATAGTTTTTAAGAATGAAACAATGTCGGTAAATATGTAGGATATTATAAATTTTTATTTATAAAGTATTAAACTATGTGATTATTTTATATGTATGTGTTTTATGTGTAAATTTTTGTTTAAGTTTTTAGTTTTGATTTAATTTTAAAAATATTTTATATTTTCATTTGTGTCACATAATTTCAATGAAAAAAGTTTTAAATTTTTAATATATGTGATAATATCTATAACATATTTTTTATAAGTTCTTTTTTCAATCAATATCCATCTCACTTTCTTTTACAAAATGCAAAATGTTTGGAATTATTTAATTCTATTTGCTTTTGTTATTAGTCTTATTTATGTAATATTGTTATTGTTCTCTGTTTATAGGGCTTAAATTATATTGCTGGAATGTTGTTATTGGTTACAAAAGATGAATCAAATACATTCTGGTTGCTAGTTCAACTGCTAGATAAGTTTGTTCCAGGTCAGGTTAGATTTTAATCTCTTATTTCTTTCTTATTTCTTTTTTTTACAAAGTTCATTATTTTAAAACTAAAATACATTCAAAAGGTTAATATGATTTTTAATTCTCATTTAAGATTTCTACACATCCAGAATGCTTGGTTTAAGAGTTGAATGTCAAGTGCTTGACCTTTTGATAAAGTAAATATTTTCATTAGCTATAAAAATATAATATGATATTTACTTAATTGTTTTAATTAATATAATAATGAAACGACAGTTTTAAAGCACTGCATTATATATTAAAATTTATATATTTTGTTGTCCTATTTACTGTTTCTATTTGATTTATAGTCAATTAGTCAAAATGTATTTTTTTTTTTTTTTTTTGATAAAATTTGTTTGTATATTTTGTTGTAGTATTTTCTGCCGATAATTTTGTTTTCACAATTAATTTTTTTTTTTTTTTTCACTATTAAATTTCTTTTATAAAACATGATGTTCAGGATTTTTTGATGTATAAAATTAGCGATGGTGTAAAAATAGCCATGAAATACCAAGCGTATAAATTTCATAGTTTAATAAAAGGAAAAAAGAAAAAATAAATGTGTCCAATAAATAATCATTTATGTTTTACCTATTCTACTTGTTTTACTATATTTCCAATAATATTTTACGTGTCCAATAATATTTCCCCCTTTCACCTGTTGACACTTACTGTGTCCAATAAGTAAAACAGGTTAAGGTCATCTGCTTAATAGTTCATGTAATAATTTTTTCAATAAACTCTATGTTAAATGGTGTTATGATTATTTAATTAGACACTTTAAATTGATCATCAAGTCAGAGCAGTTTTGAAGCAGATATAAGTTTAAAGAGATTGTTAGATAAGTTTATTTTAGTTGCTACCAAAAAATAAATGTTGAATTGGTAGTTACCAGATACCATCAAATAGCTAAAACGTTGTTGACATCTATGAGGTGTTTTTTATTGAATTATTTACTGATTCTTTTATTCGCGTAATTGTTAATATATATATATATATATATATATATATATATATATATATATATATATATATATATATATATATATATATAATTTAATGATAATTACCTAAACACCAGATTTAAAAAAAACCAAAAAACATTGTCATATATATATATATATATATATATATATATATATATATATATATATATATATATATATATATATATATATATATTGTCTTATGTTAAATTTACCAGACCATCTTTCTCTTTGTAAATCATGTAAATTTGACTGTTTCATTTTTTGATCTTTGAGTTGATCACAATTATCTTTTAATTTGCAAAGGCTCAAATAATAACATTTGTCGACCTTGCTAGCTCTAAAGCTAAAGTGTTTTATCTTTTTAAATCTCTTATTCACTCTCTCTTGTGCAGAGTTTCTTTTTCAAATCTCACTAAAACTTTTATCATCACATTTCTTACTACCTTATAGCTTATAAGGATTTATTTTGTGGTTTTCTTTTTGATGTTTTTGGGCTTATGTCTTTTGTTTTTCTGCTGAAAACTTTGACATTTTTTTTTTTAATTTTCTGGGTTATGGCATTTAGTTCTTCTCATCTCTTGTCCTTCTTATCTTTCTTGTCCTTGTGCAGCTGTTGTTTCTAATCCTAATCTTTTTTCATCTTTTCTACAAGATTAACTCTGAGGAGAACAAACCACTTATTGTTCTAAGATGTCAATGTAAAAACCTTAACTGTATCATAACCAAAGGTCATTTTATCTCTAATAGATGAGTCTGATCTTATTGCAAATCCCAAGGATAAAGAAAAACTATTTTTTAAGAACTTTTCCTTTAATTTATCTCTTGATTCAAATGGCCACATTTCCAGTCAAGCCAAAGAAACAGGTAAATTCATTGTTAGAAAATCACTCTTGCTTTTGCTTCTAAAGTTATTTTGCACTTATATTTTTCTACACCTTGTGGTCCAGATAGCATTTCTGTCACAGTCTTACAAAAAGTGTTCTCCAAAACTTTCCTAATTGTTCTTAAAACTTTAACAACTGAATCTGGCCTTCCTGTCTGCTGTAAGATAACATCCAAATTTTCCAATTTTTTTCTTTTTTAATTAATCACTTAATTAGTTTTCTTACTATTATTAGCAAAGATCATTATTTTATTAACTTCTAATGTCTCATTTAACAAACTCTCTGACAATCGATATGGACTTTGATCATCTTGGTCTACAACTGACTTGTTAACTGTTATACCATAAAAGTTTTATTATTTGTTAGTAAACTAGCCCTGTGGAGTCCTGTCAATCATGGTATTCCCAAATGCTCATAAAATTAAAATTCCCAATTTAGAAAATCCCAATCTTCTAATAAAGTTTGCTAAATCATAAATCAAAATTTAATAATAATTCTGAAAATAATAGAAAATTAATTGTTATTAAATACAAATATAAAATTAGCATAAGAAATTCAATATTATTAATTCGGATATTACGGTATGTCTTTTAGTTGTTTTTCTTTTCTTTCTTTTTTTTTTGCTAGTTTATATTAACTAAACTTAGTGATTGTATCTTTTTTTACTTATTGACATCAACTAAAATCTTTTTTTATCTATCTACTATTATTTCTCTACTAACTTTTTTAAAAAAAAAGCCACTGAAATATAAATTAACTGCAAAAAACGTTTTATGATTATAACAAACTGGTACTAGAAATTTTTTTAACAAGGTAAATAGATTCCTTTATTTTACTGCTCGCTTGTATTTAAAACATAAATTAAATAAGTTTAATAATAAAAGTATTTAAAAGTAATAAGTTTAATTTTAATAACAAAAGTATTTAAAACAAAAATTAAAACGTAAATTAAATGTTTAAAAACAAATATTTTTTTTTTCAATACAAACTGGTACTAGAGACTTAAAAAAAAAATGGCTTCACCACTTGCTTGAATTTAAAAAGTAAAAGCAAATTTAAATGTTTGAATGAACCATAGTTATAATAACATTTTATGACTATGAATGAAAAAAGAATTAATAGTGTACTTTGTCGGAACATTAGCGTGCAACTGCTTGCGTTATATTCTTTATACAATATATTACATGATAGTGAAATGTTTTTTTATAAAAGGTTTTGTTTGTATTTAAGAAATGCGCTAATGATTTAGTTGTTTTCTTGATTTGCTCGTGTATTAAAAAAGAAATCCATTTACATAAATGCCCACCAGTGAAAAAGGTATATTTTAAAAAATACTCTTAAAATGAAAGGGAAAATAATATATTAAGATTAAAATCAAATCAAATATATAATTCTTAATAATAAATAATATATACTGATTAAAATGATTAGAAAATATACAATTTTTAATAATCAGAGTTTTGTTAAAACTAAATTGGCTTTAAAGCAATACGGAGCCAATTTAGTTTTGTGTTGATTTCATATTCACCTTCAATAAATGTTACAAATGGTATTTATTATTTTGAGTAGAAAATAAAAAAAGAAAATAAAATGACCCCACACATTCTGGGAACAAATTTAATCTCGGCGGGGAGGGAGTTAAGAGATTGGGAAATATTTTGATATATTCCCAATTTCGTCAAATCGCTGTATCTAATTAATTCCTGTGTAACACCCTGGCTATTGCTTTGGCATATCATGTTGGTCTTCTTCATATGCACACTTTATAGTGAATTTGAGAAAGTTTGGAAATTTATTGAATCATTCCATTCTAATCACAGTATTGAAGTTGTCCTTGATGAATATTATTCTCTTTTATTTTTCAATAACTTCTGAGGTACCACAAGGTTATTGGGCTTGAGCCTTCGTCTTATCTTTGTCAGGTTGCATCTCTTTTTTTTATACAATTACCTCATGATCACTACTCGCTACAATACTCACTGTTGTCTCTTGTTCTATCAACCAAAACTTAATCTGGTTTTTAATTCAGCTAAGTTGCATTGTTTTAGTGTAAATGTTCTTTTACCTTTTTTACCTTGTTGTTAAATATTCTTTTACCTTGCTCAAAAATAATTTGTTCATCTATTTTTATTCCTTAATCATCCTTGTTGCGGCTGGATAGCTCAGTTGGTTGGAGCATCAAATGACTTAGTAAAACCCAAGCTGTTTTGTGATACAAGTTCAAATCCAGTCACCAACAACTCAGCACTTGAGTAGTACTTCGGTACCCAAATCCTGGTCAATAACAGACTCTACTTTGGATTACTCTTTGACTAATTGTCAAATTGTCAATTGCCTGTTGCCATGCTTCGGATATAAGAGCATTAAGTAAAATAAAGCATGAAATTCAAATAAATAAAATAATCTGTGATTTGGAATTCTTTTGATCTTCATGTTTTCCTGATAAAAACAATATACAGTTTTCTGTCAGTTGCTTTCCTGCTTTTTTGCTCTGTTCTTTGCTTTCTGTTAACTTCCAACTTAGTTTGTTGCTTTGAACCTTGTTGGGAGTGAATTTGTCTAAAAAATAGATATCTTTTACCCTGAAATATAAGAAACATAAAAGTATTAAAACTATATTTTTCCGCAGGATGGTCCTCCTTTTCATACACAAAAAGCACCGGCCTTATAAAAAATCCCTTTTAAATTAAAGAAAAGGTTCTTAGTAAATAGTTCTTAGTAATAGAGAAATAGTAAGACCAGACCTATTTATAGGAGATGAAATGTTAGACTTGATGTTGGTAATGATACTGTTAAAGATTTTTTGTCTCTTATACCTAACATCTAATAAAAAAAGGAGATTTATAATCTTAGAATAATGTACTTTTTTGATCAATTTCTTGCAATTATAATAAGTTACTTGTTCATAAGAAAGTTGTTTCTATTAAAATGATTAAAATTAGAATTAGCTGCTGAAAAAGATGTGGGGTAAAGTGATGCTTGATTTGAAACCAAAAAGGATTATATGCTTTCATGCTTACCCGAATCCTAAAAATTATAAAATCTTAATCAATTTTTTTGCTTCGGAAAAAGACAAAAGCCCAATTACCATCGCAAAGAAAATCATCAAAACATTCCCATTCCCCGTTTAGGTAGTAGGAAATTATTATAGGCTGAATATAATGAAATAAGAGTTCAAGATGAAGGTTTTGATGAGATCAAAGTATGATCTGAATCACCTAAAGGAGAACAATCAAAAACTGAACACAAGCTAGAGTCAGAGATAAAATATAAGTCAAGGAGTGAAGGTAAGTGATTCGGGTTGTATTGAAAACAAGTCACAAAGCTATCTGAGATTGAAAAAAAAAAGTTTTGAGCTTTAGAGCCAGCAGGGTCAACATATATTCTGAATTTTGCATTTGATTTTTATTGTATGGTATTTTTAACCCTTTTTAATAGATTTTAATAATTTTTTTTTATTTTAGTTCACCTCCCCAAGGCCATGAAAGCTACTACAGTCGAGGAGGCTCCTTTTAGTTGAGGTTATAACTCTATCTCTCAACTATGTAACTCCAAAACGCGAACCTTGACAAACAAGGCTGCTGCGCGGAGAAACGAGTTGAGCGCGGAACTACCAGGGACGTGTTGAGGATTAAACTCAGGACTTATCGCTTATGAGGCAAGCGCTCTACCACTACAACACTACTGCATTAATTTGTAAAACCTTTTTCAAAATTTTATTGATGTTGGAATAAATCAGTTTTACTATTATTTTAATGGAAATAGTAAACCTTATGAAAGATCTTTTTATTTTTAATGATAAAGCAGATGATTTTTTTTTTATAGGAATAAAATAATCATGTAACCTATATAAAAACGTTTTTTTAATGATTTTTGTAATTTTACTAATGATGAATTATGTAGTTCGAAATACGTCTACAAATGTTAAAAGTGTTATTTCATATAAGTATATAACCTCATAAATCTATGAATGTGTACATACGTACATACATACATACATACATACATACATACATACATACATACATACATACATACATACATACATACATACATACATACATACATACATACATACATAACCTCCTAAGGCTTAACTTGCTAACATAATTTACGTCACTCAAAGTTTCATAAATCACAACGATGTTATCAGTATATCTTAACTTGAACTTGCATGCAATATAATTATTAAAATAACATTAAACAGTCATGCATCTTTTTATAATCCAACTTTCTCTGAACATCCGTCCGACTTTGTATAATAACTGAAATATTACTTATACCCAAGTCATACCCAAGTCATACCCAAGTTTCTCCTCTGAGGTTAGAACGGTATCAGCATTATTGATATGCAGACTTTTTCTGCATATCGTAAAATTGAAATACTTTTCAGTTCCGAAAAGTTTTAAAAGATAAGTTTTATAATATTATAAGCTATTTAAATAATTCTGCTAAAATAATTCAAAGAGCATTAACAAGTTTCATAATGAAAATTATTTTGTTTAGGTCTTCTCACCCTGATCTTCACGAACATTTTAAAATCCACAATATTACTATAGAGCTGTTTGTATCAAAGTGGTTTATATGTTTGTTTGTTGATGTACTTCCAGTAGAGGTCATATTGTTATTTAATTTTTTTTTTTTTCTCTCTCTTTTTAGTTTTTACTTTTATTTGTTTTCTCCATTTTGTATTATAATGTAAATTGTATTATTTATTTTAAAGACAGTATTACGTCTCTGGGATTGTCTGTTTTACGAAGGTTCAAAAATTCTTCTGCGTGCTGCTTTTACCCTAATTATCATTAATAAAAAGAATTTTCTTCAGTTGAATGAATTTACTGAGATTTGTAATTTATTCAAGGTATCTTTATGTAGAATAAAATTAAAAAATAAAATATAATTCTAATTTTAACGTGAATTGCGTTTATCTATGTAAAGTTTATTTTTAATTTTGTAATTTCCTTTTTTCTTTTTTTTTATACAAGAACATACCTCTAAGCAAAGAGACTTTGGATTGTCATTATTTTCTTCAGGTTTAATATTTATTTTTTATTTTTTTTCAAATTTTATATATATATATATATAAATATATTTTATCAACAATTATAACAAATAAAAAACGTTTTTAGTGTTGTTTTAACGTTCCAAAATCATTTCCAATGTCAAAGATACTACAACTCCGAGATGATGCTTCACAAAGTTTATTATCTTCAGTCTCGTAAAATAAAAAAAATACTGCGATACTATGATTATCTTCTAGTCTACTACAATAACTTTATTATAAGGGATCTGATAGATTTTTTTAACAAAAGCTAAAAATAACATATACATATATGTGTTGTATTACATTATATAAACCTATATGTTTTATATTACGCAAATATATATTTGGGAATTTTTTGAATGGAAATTTTCCGAAAAGAATTTTTAGAGATTTTGAATAATATTCTAAATTTGTAATATCGTATTGTTGTCACCTTTGTATATATTGTCGTTATTATAAGTCTTCGACGTTTTCTTGTAAATTTTTACTTTCATAGTTTTTTTGTTTTTTTTTTTCTTTTCTGAGTCATTAAACCCTGTATTAAAAAAAATAAAAGTTCTTTAGGTTATCATTTTTTTTGACGGTTTCTGCTTTTATTATTTTAGTGTAATTTGGTGTAATTATTTATGATCCTTGTTTGTATTGAATATAAATGGCTATATAGGAATTATATGTAAATAATTTTTATGAGAGTATAAATTTGATTTATAAAAAAAAAAATTATCTTCAAAGGCATTTTAAAACTAATAAACTTAACTTTCAAACACTTTTTTGAGAATATTTCCAAATATTAAATTTTTGGTAAATGAAATGTTTTTCAAAAATCAGGTATTTTTCAAAAAGTCAGGGCATTTTAAATTAAGGACTATTACATGAATAAAGGCCGAGAGTTTATTTTCATTTTTTGCCTGCAAAACGGAATTTTCGTAGTATAATCTAGAAGACAGAACGCAAATAGTACTGCCATTTATGTTTTATCTTGTCTACATGATCCATATCACGGTTGCTTATCAAATCTTGGTGGAATCATAAAATATTGGCTCTAAAAAATTATGTATTTTTAATTATTAAGTATTTTTATTACCTCAACTAAAGTTTCAATTAATATTTATGCAAAAATTATGTTATGAAAAAAAATCATTTAAAAAACGAATTTTTCATAATAAAAACCTAGAATCTTTTAAATATCAACTATCGTTAATTAATTGGGACATTATAAACTTTTCTGAAGACATTAATTTAATATACAAATCCTTTTTTAAAATTTTTTATGAAATTTATGACATCAATTTTCCCAAAGTAGAAGTAAATTACAAATATAAAAAAATTGTATCGCCATGGATTACTAAAGGTATTCTAAAATCTTCAAAAATTAAGCAAAAACTTTATATTAAATATTTAAAAACAAAAACAACTGAGAGTAAGACTATAAAAATTACGTAAGATTATTTGAACGCCTAAGGAAAAATTATAAAAAATATATTTCACTAATTTACTTGAAAAATACAAATTAAACTCAAAACGCACTTGGCAACTAATGAACGAAATTACTGGTAACACTAAAAAAAATTTCGCAATCTTTGCCCTCAGTTATTAAAGTAGATGATAATCTTCTTCTTGATCAAAAATCAATTGCTTCTGAATTTAATAAATATTTTGTATCTGTAGGACCAAACCTAGCCGAAAAAATTCCGAACCCTAAAAAATTAATAAAAGCAACATATGACCCTCTAAAAACGTATCTAAATTCTTTTGATTTGTCTTTTGAAGAGTTTGAAAGTGCTTTTAAATTGTTAAAGTCAAATAAAGCAGTTGGTCCTGATGATGTCAACGGAAATATTATTATAAGCTGTTTTGACGTTTTAAAAGACATACTTTTCCAAATTTTTAAATGCTCCATTAATCAGGGAGATTTTCCTGATGATTTAAAAATAGCAAAAATTATTCCTATATTTAAAGAAGGAGAAAAAACTAATGTAAAACACTATCGTCCAATTTCCACCCTCTCTGTTTTTTCTAAAATTTTAGAAAGAATTTTGTACAACAGAATATACAATCACCTTTTAAGAAACAAATTATTATATAACATGCAATATGGATTCAAAAAAAATAATTCAACAGAGCATGCAATTATTCAGCTTACAAGAAGTATACCAGACTCATTTAACAATTCTAAATTTACGTTGGGAATATTTATTGATTTAGCGAAAGCGTTTGATACAATTGATCATCAAATTCTTATTAAAAAAATTAAAATATTATGGTATAATAGGCAATGTTTTAAAATGGTTGAAAAGTTGTTTAACTAATCGTAAACAATTTGTTTATGCTGATAAATCATTTTCATCAAATTTGTTAAATATTACATGTGGAGTTCCTCATGGATCCATATTAGGACCTCTTCTCTTCCTTATTTATATTAATGATCTATACAAAGCCTCGAATTTAATAACAATTATGTTATGATTATGACACTAATTTATTTATGTCTCACAAAAGCATTCCTACTTTATTTCATAACGTGAACATCGAGTTAATCAAAATATCTGACTGGTTTAAGACAAACAAACTATCCCCGAACATTGATTAAACTAAATGGATTCTTTTCCATCCTCTTACCAAAAAACATAAACTGCCAATTAACATGCCTCCACTTGTTATTGACAATATACAAGATAAAAAAGTAACAGTAACTAATTTTCTAGGAGTTTGTTTAAATGAAAATCTTACATGGAAAAATCACATTAAAAACTTATCAAGTAAAATTTCAAAAAGTATAGGAATATTGTACAAAGCGAGAAATGTCTTAAATAAAAAAACTTTAGTACAATTATATCACTCATTTATTCATTGCCACATAAATTATGCAAACATTGCTTGGGGTAGTGCAAATAAAAACAAACTTAAACTTTATTGTCAGCAGAAGCATGTAGCACGTCTTATATATTTTAAAGACCGTTATACTCATGCCAAGCCTCTTTTATTTGAAATGAAAGTTTTTAATATATATGAGATTAATATTTTTAATATTCTTTGTTTTATGTTTAAATGTAAAACCAATTCATCCCCGATTTCTTTCCATAATTTGTATTCATCAAAAGATAAAAATAAATACATTTTACGCAATATCAATTTTATCAAGCAGCCCAATTTTCAACCAAATCTTTTTAAATTTTGTATTGATTATCGCGGACCATTCTTATGGAATAAAATAGTTTTAAAAAATTTTACTGAGGATTTTATTAATCAAAGTAACTACTTTTTTTTTAAACAAAAGCTTAAAGAACTCATTTTTGCAATCGATGATTTAACAATATACTTCTGATATTTTTTTGATCTTTATTTTTACCATTTATTTAAACATGAACTTATAAAAAGTATATGTTTATCCTTAACAACTACAATTTACATATATAATAGATAAAACGCATCTTGTATTTATTATGGATTATTTTAAGTTTCTTACTTTTGTTAACTTATTTTTATTTTTTAACCTTGTAATTATCTTTTAAATTTTAACACGAACATTTCTTAGCGGTACTCAACGACAAGACCGTATGGTCTTCTACGAGTCCCCGCGTCCTTTTATTTTCTAATAACGACCATTATATTTATATATAAATTTATTATTATATATTTGTATTTGAAATATTGTAACGAAATGCTTATTTTACATGTAATAAAAGAACAAAAAAAAAAAAAAAAAAAAAAAAAGATGATATAACTTACAAAATAAAAATGTAAATAACTAAATAATGCTTTGTTATACCGCATCAAAACAAATTTTGATGTGCTGCTTTAAATATTATTTAATTAAATAGATTGCAAAGTAAACTTTATGATTATTTTTTAGTTTATATATGACTTTTTAAGTCCGCAATAAGTCTTTAAAGTTTTTTTTTAACTATTTGTTATTATCAGTTTGTTTTTTGCTTTTTTTTAAATGCGGTATAGTAATGAAAATTAAAAAATTTAATTTTTTCAAAAATTCATTTTTATATCAATAAAATCATAAGTTAATATTTTTTTTTTTTTTGATTTTAAGTTAATATAACCTAAAGTTTTATTCAAAAACACCTGGACAATATATCTTGGTCCCGTCAGCTATGGAAAGGTTAGGATGCACTGAAGACTGATTTTATTTTTTTTTAGTAATTAGCTAAATGACTTATAAATCAAAATTTTCTGACTAACTCCGCTAAAAAAAACCCTTTAGTGTTGACTAAACTAAAATTGCTTGATGAGGGGGTGTTACTCACATTTAATTCTGAGACAAGCTCAAAGTTTGAGCTTGTTTAAGAAATAAAATGTGCGTAACACATTTTGCTTTTTAAGTCAATTAGAGTTTGAGTCAAAATCTTAGTTGAATAACTTGCTTTAATTAATTGTTTAATACTAATTTTTTTTACTTCTTTTCATTTTCTGAGTTATATTTTATGTTTTTGTTTTCCAAAGTCACAAGGCGACTAGTTTTTCATTAGTGCAGAAACTGCGATTTTCACCTTAGAAATTTTTTCGCAAGTCATCCATTTTTGCAACCTCTGTTTAACTTAGGGTTTTTTAGCTACAAAAAGAGAATTATTGTTAGGGCAATTTATTAGATCAAAGTATTTTGCGATTTTATTTCGTCCAAAAGTTCGTGCAAGAACCTTTTTGGATAAAATTATCTTAACTCTAGAAAGAAGAAAGTTTCTTTTGATCAGTTTTTCTTTTTTAAATAGATATGTCGTACCATTTTTTATATCAATAAGAAATTACACATTTTTGTGATCAAAAAAAATTTTTTTTCACCATTTTTTAAAAACCCAGTAGACTTATTTCTTAATTTTTACATCATGTTCCTTTTTTGTGATAAACGTTCAAGTGAATATGCACCTTTAAAAAATTAGTAAAAAAATTGTTGAATAAACTTTAAAGTCTCCGCCAGGTTTTTAAAACACCTAAAATATTCGGCTAAAACTGTTGGAATGATATATTAAAATTATTTTAAACTTTTACTTAATATTTTTCTGTTCTTCTTAAACTTACTTGGTCTGTGGCGGTAGGTTAGAATGCTCTTTAGTGGGCTGATGTTGTCTTCTATTGATCTTGGTATGTGCCTTATCTATGGCAATTATATACCGTATTTGTATGTGTATTTGTATGTGTATGTAATGTAATGTATTAATATGTATGTAATGCAATATGTTAATGTAATGTAAATGTATTGCATGTGTATTTGTATACCGTATTGAATAGGTATTTGCACACCGTATTGAATGTGTATTTGTATATCGAATTTGTGTTTGTATTGTATAATGTATACCGTATTTTTCAACCCATACTGCCAAGTGGGCGATTTGTGTGTGTGTCTGTGTTTTATAATTAAACGAAGCAAATTGATTTAGTATTATTTTACTAAACATTCAGATTAAATGTGTTTTCTAATGTCATTTTTAGATAAATTATTATAATCTAACACACCCAGCTAGCACACTTACGTTGGGCCAACGTATGTAAATGCATCGCAAACGTCGGCTATTTTTTTCATTGCAAATACAATATTGATCCAATGTTAGTTTTATCGCATTTAAATTATTGAAAACCCTAATAACGACGTGATTAAAAATAGTTAGCAAAACTTTTTCAATCCAAAGTTAATCCGATGTAGAGGATCAACGTTGATCCAATGTATATGGATCTACGTTGATTAAATGTGTCAAAAAAAAGTGTTGATTAAATGTGTCGAAAGAGATCACCCCAC